CGAAAAGAACACGAGATCCGGTTTATTGGAATGAACAAGCCCTACTGCAGTTTGGAAAGTGAGGGATGGCCCAATTCCTCTCACATTCCAGGCCAGAAGCCTCATTTATCTGCTGGGGGCCATTCGAGGCTGGCTTCCTCCACCTTTTCCAAAACTTTAGCAGTTTCCACAAATTGCTTCTTCGGGGTGGGAGGGTCACCCACATCCCCGTCCAGCTCATCAATCCCCCGCTTCCGATTCTCCATGATTGTGTCCATCAAATTAGACCCATATTCATCCAGGTTCAAGCTCGACCCCTTGCAAGGAACACCCTCCTCCCGCTCGAAGACTAGCCCAGCTTCGAAGACCTCCACCACTTGGTGAACACACCCTTTCATGATTTGGAAGGCCTTCATAAAGGCTCCAACTGGGAACGTCGCTTGATTTCAAAGGAGTGATGATCCCCGAGCGAGTGATCTCCATTAGAGTTAGAGGTCTGCTGGTGATCCTCATAAATAGGACCATCCAAAGGAGCAACAATCTCTTTATCCTCCAGCTCATGCAGAGCACTAGGTGGAGTAGAGCCCACATCCTGCTTGGCTATAGATAGAGGGCAGCTAGCTCCTGCTTTCCTCAAGAGTGGGCAAACCCGTGGTACCGAGACTCCTGGCTGGGTCTCAATCTTGGAGGGCAGCCGGGGATCCTTCAGCGATGTAAGAACAGGATCCTTAGTAGGGCTAGAAAGAGAACATGACTTCATGGGATGCATGGCTTTTTCAACCGCAGTCTCCTCCTCCTCAGATTCCTCCTGCAAGATCAGCCTACGCCTCCGGGATTGTTCGAGAGCCTCCACCACAGGATTCGCCATCTGCTGGCGTTGGGGAGCCTGCCTGGCTCGCCTATCTGGCTATTAGCGATCCTTGGTTCCATGCCGAGGAAGGGAGGGAGCCTTTCTAAGTGATTGCTTCTTCTGTTACAGCCTAACACCACCACCAATCTTAACCCGAGGCGACGTCTTGAAGACAAACCTCTTAGGGCCAGCACGATTCTCAGCCGACTTGATATTTGGTTCACGCAGCCTAGGCTTTGCCTCCTTGCTAGCTTGAACTGTCGGCTCGTTGGACAGAGAATGATACGATCCTTGAGCCTGAGAGTGGTCATTAGGCCCTTGTGGTACCTCCTGCACTCGACCCCTTGCAGTATTCGCACTCCCACCATTGTGCATTTGCACATTTATGTTAACCCACACAGACTTAATAGTATTCCGAAAATTAGGGTAATCTTCCTCATCCATGTATATCTTCCTTCCTAGTTTCCTTGTTGACATGTGTGGTCCGAAGCGTTCTTTTCCCGGAGGAGGATCGAAAACACAGTCACGTTTTGAGTGCCCCACGCGGCCACAGTGGAAGCAGATGGTCGGTAAAAATTCATACTTGAGATTTACCCAGAAGCTGCCAAGCTCCTCACTAACCGCCATGAGCTGGGATCGCAAAGGTTTAGTAAAATCAATGAGAGCATGCACTTTTACAAAGAACTCCTCCGTGTCCTTGGACGCAAAGACATCTGCCTCCAAGACCTGGCCGATAGTCCCATATGCCACTTTCCGGCCAAACTGCTTAGTGCAACAGTCATCTTTCACATTCTAGAGTTAAACGCGAAAGGGAGCGATGGCCAACTCATCAAAGGTAAGTCGCGAAATAGATGGTGCCCAGGAGCGGAGTTGGAAAATCCTTTCTTTGACAATCCAGGGTGTTCTTTACAGGATCCACACCCTTGTCTCATCATTTGGAAGTACAACCTCAAATAGGCCAAATTTAGTGAGTGTAACCCTGAGGTTTCCCTTCACCCGCCAAGCTTCGATTAAACCATTCCTCAGTTCTGTGGTAGTGAACCTGGTTTTCGAAAAGAGCCTACCCAAAAGGGTCCTAGAAGTGCGAAACTTCACAGACTGGACCTCCTAAAGTCAGAACTCGACCACTTGATCCTCCGCAATACGCGACATCATATGCACCTGACAAGAAGGGATAGATAAAGCATTAGAGGCATAAGATATGGTCGGTTCTATCGTTGAGGCTGCTGGCGGCAGAGAAATAGCGGGAACTTTTGCGTTCAAGCTAGCCGCAGAGGCAGAGGGACGAGTCGAATTGGTCAATGACGCTAGCGGTAGCGGACCAGGGGAGAGAGAGTAAGTGGTTTTTTCACTCGAGAGTGCAGAATGCTCAATTGAAACAGAGCAGTTGATAGTAGCTAGGGAATAGATCTCGTTACCTGACGAGAGCACGGGAGCAGTATGCTGTTGGCGGGGGGATCTGCTATTCGCGCTTCTGCAACGAAAGCAGTATGCTGCTGGCGGGGGGGGGGGGGATCTGCTATTCGCGCTTCTGTAACAATCGCTAGCCGCCGAGTATTACACAATGACAGGCTAGCGAGAGGCGAAGCAAACTTATAGGCAATCTCTTTTGGGGGAAGGGAATTTGTTTTTTCAATTTGATATTGCTCCTGCAGATCTCGCCCAACAGGACTGGGGAATCGGGAACAAATCCATCTTTATCCACCCAGCTAACCCGCATCCCCCCTAGACGCCGGCGTTCGTTGGCGCCACCAGTGCGCCCGAGTAGCTCTTCGCTGGAGCCGCTGGGAATACAGGTCTTAACAAGTCTCACCTTCTTCCTATTATCTGGCGGCACACAAAGAGCCCCATCCCCAAAGGGAACCTTAAGAGCTAAAGACTCGCAGAGTTCTTCGTTTGTGTTGTTGTTGTTTGTGCCGCCATTGATGCACATTATGCGACATCCAGCTTTCTCACAATCTGGCGTCACGGGAAAATTCCCACCCCCTAAGGGGAAAGCTTGAAACAAGTTTCCACAGAGTCCAAGACGATCAATTTTAGATCTTGCGATATGTGAATTGCTCCCCGCGAACGAGGCTAGGTGCGGTTCATCATCATCCAAATCTGACGATTGAGGGAGCCAAAATCTCCAAAGATTTCTTGGCTTTTGCTTATATCTCTTTGATGGACGTTCCTCTGATGTTTCAAGTGCATCAAAAGCAATCGGAAACGATCGCTTCTTCAAGCGGCGCCTCCTTTCTCCACGCCGTACAATCTCCCGAGAAGCCCTTTTCGGAGTATGGTTCGTAAAAACAGGGAGATTGCCATCCTTCTTGCTGATGATTGGGATTTCGTTTATTCCGTTCACCTGGGTATCAGTCCGAGCCGAGGGGAGCGATCTCTGATACCAGTTTTCTTTGTACTGGTTCCTCAAACTGGCCGCGAATACGACGGCGGCGGCCCGCGATAGCCATTTACCAAAAAGTGAACAAAAAAGAAGGAGAGAGGAGAGAGCATCTCTCAACATTATTTTTTTCGAGCCAACCATACCAAAATCCATCATAAAATCTAACAAACAAACAAATTGTTTTACCAAATTTATTACAGATCCATAAATTTTGAAAAATCTTAATTTTAACCAAATCCTCATTTTTCAAATTCAACCAAAAAATCACACGCAACTCCTTCTCCAACTTTTATCTCGTAACTCCTTAATAAGCCGCTTCTTCTCACCATCAAATTTGGGGGAGGGCTAGCAATTTATTTCAGGGCCAAATTCTATGACCCGGGCGTGGATAATGGACCGAGCCCACCATTATAGATTGGTTTCTTTGGCCCTTTTTTCTGGAGATATTTAAGCAAAATTTGTACGCGCAATACACACGGGTTATAGTAGTGCCGACTAGCGAGTGAGTTTTGCTCTCAAATTTGACTTACCTATTTAATAGCTTGAGTTGTGCATTAACCCGCAAAAGCAATTCACTAATTAGCCATAATAAAAGTCCACTAACATGTATAATAAGTTGCTTGCAAATTAATAATATTATTATACAACTTTAGACACTTCTCACTTTGAGCACTTCTACTATGCTATATAGCATTGGTGCTTTAATGTACAACTCAAAGTTGTACCATAACATTAAATGTATAAGTTTAGGTTGTACCATAAAGGAATTTATATCATTATGTTATGGTACAACTTTACAACTTGAAGTTGTACCATCACATAAAGGTACAAGTTCAAGTTGTACCATAAAAGAATTTGTACAAAAAGTATAGGTACAATCTAAAGTTGTACCATAACGTAAATGTACAATTTTAAGTTGTACCATAAAGGCAAAAACCTATAGCACCAATACTATATAGCATTGTAAAATTTCTCTCTCACTTTATGTCATATGAATCCGAGTAGTATTTTGCATCAATGATTTCATTATTTCATCAAGCAAGTATGTAGATTTTGATAGAATTAATAGCTTATAATTTTCATCCTATTATATATATGGATATTACACAACATAACAATCAATAGTAATCCAAAAATATTGTTTATTTTCCATCTTTAGAAGAAGATGGTTATTGCAGGTATGAAATATGATGAATATTCGTTAGTATTTTTAGAAAAATTGTCATGTGAAACTATGATACCCGCAATCCACCTACGAAAATGAGTGTGGATAGGAAATGTATCGATCCGCAATCCACCCAGATCAATCATCCATCTACTGCGATACGAATTATTTACGGATAGATTGATATTAGTCTGCGGATTAATCCACTTGTCTGCCACAAGGGATTAATTTTCCAATCCACTAAAATTGCATGCGACTTGAAAGTTATTGCGCGTATATGTTTACAAATATGATTTCCACGAAAATTGAACTTTACAAACTATGTGTAAACTTCGAATAAATATGAAATCAAAATAAAGAGTTGGCCTTTCTTGTTCCATCGAAATTGTATACTTATTACATGAAAACCCACATCTCTCAAGACATGGAAATACACGAACAAACATATATAAATTCAAACTTTGCCCCCAAACAAACCCACACGAAAATCACCAATAGCAATACAACTGCGCATGCAAATTAAATGTAGGAAATTAAAATAAACAATTCCGCAACGACGACGTATTTATATATATATATAGTTACATTACTTCCGTTCACCAACCTTCACACCGTCCATTTTACTCAGCAGCAGCAAGACCACGCGGCTCCAACATGACACGTAGCCCGTGCTTCATGAACAACGTCAGCGACATCTTCTGCACCACGCGGTGGCCCGGCTCCGGCGACAGGCGGTAGCGCAGCAGCACCGCCGACGCCACCGACTTCATCTGCAAGTACGCCAGGTCCTTCCCGAGGCAGGTCCTGGGCCCCGCGTTGAACGCCACGAACTTGTAGCCGTCCTTGGGCGTCTCGAACTTGTAACCGCCGGCGCTCTCCGACACCCACCTCTCCGGCTTGAACTCCAGGCAATCCTCCCCCCATATGCTCTTCATCCTCCCCATCGAGTAGATGGAGTACGTCACCGACGAGCCCGCCGGCACCACCGTCCCGTCGGGAAGCACGTCGTCCGCCACCACGTACTTGAAGTCCTCCGGCACCGACGGGTACAGCCTCAGCGTCTCCGCCAGGGACGCCTTCAGGTACACCAGCTTGTCGGCCTCGTCGAACGTCAGCGGGTCCTCCACCCACTTCTTGGGATCCTCGCCACGTGTCTCTTTCAGGACGGTGGTGATCTCCCTTATAATCTCGTCCTCCACGCGCCGGTTGTTCATCACCAGCCAGAAGAACCAGCTGAGCGCGACAGAAGACGTGTCGCGCCCGGCCAGGACGAAGTTGAGCGCGATCCGCTGGAGGACGGGAACCGAGAACGGGTTCCCGTCGGCGTCGCGCTTCTTCAAGAAGCGCGAGAGGAGGTCGTCGGAGGGCTTCTCCTTCCTGGCCTGTACGGCGTCGTCCATGTACTTGGCGACGATGTGGAGGCTGGCTGTGAGGCGCCTCTCGGCGCCGATCCCGAGGAGCTTCTCGAGGCGCCAGAGGAGGGCCGGGTAGAGGAGTCGCTGGAGCGTGGCCTCAGTGGCGGTGTCGAAGGCGAGTGCGAAGGGGTTGTGGGGCATTTCCGGGGAGAGAGTTTCTGGATCCTTGCCGAAGGTGAGGCCGCAGATGTTGTCGAAAGTCAAACGAAGCAAGAGGTCCTGCAGGTCGAGGGGGGTTTTGGTGGCAGCTGCGCGGGCCAAGATGGGCCAGAGGCGGGCCTTGATGGTGCGGTTGACCCAGCGGGCCATGGCCTGGCGTAGGGTGCGGGTGGTGAACTCGAGGGCGGCGGTCTTGCGCTGGATGAGCCAGGTGTCGCCGTCGCTGTTGAAGATGCCCTGGCCCAGCAGGTCGTGGAAGGCGGCCTGCCACTGTGGGCCCTTGGGGTAGTTGTCGAAGCGGGTGCGGAGGATGTGCTCGATGTTTTTGGGGTGGCACGTCACGGTGTAGAACCCTAGCGTCCTCGCCAAGAAAGGGAAGGGGATCGTGCAGGTCTGGTACGTGGACGCTCCGCCCGTGGCGCGGAGGTTGCCGGCGACCCAGTCGTGGAAGCGGGCCCGGTTCTTGTAGAGGAGTGGGAGGCTGCCGACCAGCGGCCATACTTTGGGGCCGGTGAGCTGGCGGGCCAGGAAGTAGAACCAGACTAGGTAGATTGCAGCCGCGGTGAAGAAGAAGAAGGATAGAGTCTCCATATTTTTCTTCTTTCTTCTTGTTGTTGTTTTGAATTTTGATGGAGCTAGCTAGAGCGGGCGGCCAGTGATTGAGAGAGATGGGGAGATTGGGATGGAGTTTTTATAAATGGAAAGTTGAAGGAGTTGTGACTGAATGGCTGACTTGTGAGGTAATTAAGGTTATTGCAGGCAGGAGTTGTTGGGAAATTTGTTTATTTGGGTGCATGGATGAATCATTGGAAGGTTTTTGTAATAGGGTAGGGTTGATGAGATATCATCAATAACTGTCTCTACAAGTAAAGGCAAAAACCATGGACAGAAGAACATTATTGTCTGTTTCATTTTCCAGGGGTGAGGGGTTTATGGCTCGTCTTAGTTGGTAAGAAGGGAGATCCAAAAATGTATGCTTGTGGGTATAACCATAATCAATGAAGGGTAGGTGATTGGGATTTTGACTCAAGCATTTTAGTATCGTCATTTGGTTTAAGGCTAACTTAATTTCTAGAGGACACGAATCCAAGATCTATGGTTGATTTTAAGTGCCATATGGCCGAATTGTTTAGTAGTATGCTGTTTGATTGTGTGAGAAGCAGGAAACAAGAATTTCTTGATATTTTAGTATAATTAATGTGGCGAGACAAATTGGTGAGACATAAACATTTTTTTTATTTTATTAGTATCTGAGAAACCGCCATAACGTATTAGTGAAAAAGGAAAAAACTTAGCAGCATCCTGGGATGCAGCCACTAGCGGCTACCCATCCACATGTCTCCCACCTATTGGTTCCCAATTTCCTTTTATTTTTTATTTTTAAATATGCTCATCAATTAGTTTAACATTTGGAGAGGGGTAACGGAGCCGTCAAACACCCACCACTACCCTACAATTGACTTCCCCTCCCCATCGAATAAAAAACTTGGCTCTCTCTGCCTTTCCCTGCCCTCACAAAAACACACCAATTCACTCTCTTTTTTTACTCTCCTGCATGGTTGTCACGCCGGCCGGCGTGCCACGGGTTATACCGGGTTCAACCGGTACAGGTCATAAAACCGGCGTGACACCACCGGTATGACCGGCATGATCGATATACAAATCTCTAAGTAAAATGACCTTATTTTAGAGAATTTAATTGATAAAAATTATTTTATTATTTATTTTATGAGTATAAAAGTTAGATATTGATGTTAATTGTTGGATTCAAATATAAATGTTTAGGTATTGACGTTAAATGTCATGTTTAAATATTAGTATTTGTAATTTTATTTGTAATATTCACCGACACAAACCGGTATGTGCCACCGGTTGAACCATTCCACTTGCTAAACCGGCACACTGGCATAAACCGGTTTGACAACCTTGCTCTCCTGCAAACCCAAAGCAGCAGTATGCAAACTCAATGAATGGTACTCATACAAATATTCTGATACATCATATATCCCCCACTAAACACTGAATTTATGTCTAAACAATTAATGTATGGAAACATAAAAAATAGAACCAACTTAATGACAATTTATTCCACTTGAGATACTTCTGGAGAACATCGTTTGTCACTGTTGCAGACCATCAAAAGGGGAGTTCGCTATTGCATCCTGTAAAATTAAACAAAATAATAATAATAATAATATAACATTAGTATTAGTTTAATGAAATCAACTAAAATAGATAAGAGAATCGACTTCGAACCTGTAACAATTGTGTGTATGATATATTGGTGAAACCAATTGTAGAATCCAAGTTCTCTGCTGTTGGCCTAATAATTGAACTTTGAGGCTGATGTTCCACCTAGTCCATTCAATTGATCATGTTTAGAGTTCATTATAGAAAAAAGACAACACTTTTCTCCGAATTATAAAATAGACCAAGAAAAACCTGATAATTTTGGATTTGCAGTTCTGTTTTGCTTCCAGCTGCTTGTTCAGAGCAATTAGTTTTCTGCTTCTTACCCTGTGCATATAATAGTATATAAAGACTAGTTAGTTAATGAACTATGATTGTATAATAAATATATTTTATAAAAGAAAACTAAGATGAACACGAACCTGTGGTTTTGATTGGACTTTATGACTTTTTCGACGTTCTAATGCACCTTTGATCCTCCCTTTCGGCCGCCCTACTGTTGCTTTTGTCTTAACTCCGGTTACAACTTATTGGTCTTTTTCATGATCGGAGCACAAATCCTTAGGAGAAGTTCCAGCATTTGAATTTTTTCTCCTTCCCTGCAAATCTTTCAGCAAATTTGAAAAAACCTCACTTGTATGCTCATACATTGTGTCATTCTCAGCTGCCAGTGTGCATATCTCTCGAAAATTATAATGTAGATTGCAGTAACGCTTCCCAATAAGTTTCTCTGAACTTCCCTGTACTCGAGCTGAACTTCTTATATCTCCATCTTTTGCCTCCTTTGTCCATCTCTTTAATATATATCGTCTTGGGATTTGCTTTATATTTTTCTTATCTAGAACCTTCAAAGCATGAGCACATAGAATTCCCACAAACTCAAACTTCTTGCAACTGCAATCAACTACTTGAGACAAAGTCTCAAACTGAACGCGGTGCTCTGTGCCTCTACCTACATAAGATAAAGAACTCATCATAATCTATTTACTAATGCTATCGTTAATCATTAAACTAGAAAATTCAATCAGTAAACCAAAGACTCAAAATACATGCATCACAAAAGGGGGAAACCAGGCAACATTATTGATAAAATGCCCAAACCATTCATAGAACACAAACCGATAATAGGCAAAGGAGAATGACAAAATAATTTATGAACACAATAGTAGTAAATATCAAAACTATTCATACACTATAAACCGATGATGTACAAAGGAAAAGGACAAACATGATAAAAAAATCCACCATGATTTTATGTTCATCCAAACTTTTCTATTGGGAAAAGCAATTGAGAAAAGAAATAGCTAACCTGACTTAGGAGAAGACATGTCCAATGCATATAGAGATTAATAGAATAACAGTAGATGAAGCAGAGACAGTAGCTACGTCGGCGTTGATTTTCGTGCAGCTGTGCTTACGGACGCCGTGCGATGGTGTAGAGCAGAGAGAAAGTAAACCTAAAAGTAAAATAATTCCGCACCGTGACGGCTCCGTTACCCCTTCTTCAGATTTTAAACATATTTAAAAATAAAAAATAAAAGGAAATTGGGAACCAATAGGTGAGAGACATGTGGATGGGTAGCCGCTAGTGGCTGCATCCCAGGATGCTGCTAAGTTTTTTCCAGTGAAAAATACTTTATTAGCAGACAGTATTTTGCTGTATGAAATGACCAAACCATTATTTCATTACAAAATACTTAATCACTAACTTTTTTAGTACAACTTCCGATATTGTTTCGCAATCTTTACATTTACGTCTTTTCTCTTACATTAATTGATGAGTTAAAAGAATTTTAACACCCAAATAGGGATAGTAGCTCAACTCACATTCAGAATATTCAACACGATCCGGCCAGCCCAAGTAAAATTGAATGTTGACTAGGTTGGGATAAAGCTAAAATTGAAGTTGTTGGGTTGAGTTGAGTTTGTATTTGGACAATAGTCACAATACCCAACCCAAAGTTTAATACGAATATATATACTGCTCTGCGAGGATGAAAATATCAGGGCAATTATCCTCTTCTAAACCTATCCGCCAACTTGGAGATAAGGGCTCAAAGGGCTCAAACTCATCTTTGTTGGAAGCAGGGGCTTTGGGGCTAAGAGATAAGGGCTATGGCCCAACACTTGGGTCAGATTTACAAAACGAGAGGGCAATCAGGTAGCGCACGTGATGGCTCATACGATGTGTTGATGACAAGAACAAGAGTTATATATGGATTGCGAGACCAACTATTTTTATCGCTTCTTTACTTCAGCACGACTGTAATGCTACTTTGATATCGTAATAAAAGCATACAAGTTTTTTTGTAAAAAATAAAAAACCTATCCGCCAACAACGTACGTCGGTCTAATTCATTAAAAAAAACTACGTACCTCTACCAATTAAACTAAACTTCACCAACAAGTAGGGCTGTCAACCGGTCGGTTAAACCGAGACCTGACCAGTTACTACCGGCCACCGACCGACCCTGGCGCCTCGGTTATCCGTAAACCGACCGGGCGGTTTCGGTTAAGGCACGGTTAAACCGGCAGCACCGAAAAAGGGAGGGTCGGTTTGATCTGCTGTCCTTACCGACCGAAGACCGCCAAAAACCGACCGGTCCAACAACTCTCCTCTCTCTTTCATTCTTGATCTCTCACTACGCCTCTTCTTCCTCTAGAAACAAACAACAAAAGCAGAGATCCTGCTTCTCCATCATCCATCTCTCAATTTCTCTCGTCCTCTCTCAATCAAGAATAAATCAAATAACCTGCTTTCCATTAGTTCATTGCCCCTGCCAGATCCAAACCTTCTTCACATGACAGTGACGCTGATAACAACAATCACAGCCCGGTTAAAGGTAAGATCTGGTCTGCATGTATGATTCTTTTATATTTTGTGGTTTAAAATAAGATTCTGAACCATTTTTGCGTCTCTAGGCTTTGGTTGCGGAACAAAGGAGCTGGCGAGCTGCTGCCTACTTGCTAGACTGGAGGCGGCGAGGTGGAGGGGGAAGGGGAAGGGGAAGATCGCTACTGGCGATTGGAGGGTGGCGCCGTGGCGGCAGACTGGCGAGCGATTGGAGGTTGGCGGCGATTGGAGGGTGGCGGCGATTGGAGGGTGGCGGCGATTGGTGACTGGCGGCGATTGGAGGGTGGCGGCAGAGTGGCGAGGCGACTGGAGACGCGGCCGGCGATGGCGGAGTCTTGCGATGGCGGGCTGGCGGGCGCTGTGCGACGGGCCGACGGCCGACGATTTGGAGGCTGGGGGAGGAAGAAGAGGGACGATTTCGCGCAGTCGAGAGGATGAAGAGGGACGAGACTCGAGAGTGTCTAGGGTTGGGGTCGTTTTCTCCCAATTCAAAACGGCGGCGTATTACTCGGTCGGTTAGAGCCGGTTAGCCGGTTAACCGGCCTCGGTTACTCGGCTAACCGCCTGCCCACACCCATGTTCCGCCAACCGACCGAGACTGTTTATTTTCGGTTTTCGGTTAGCCACTAACCGGCGGTTAACGGTTAGACCGGCCGGTTAGCCGCTAACCGGAAACCGAAATGACAGCCCTACCAACAAGTTACAACTAGGGCTGGCAAATCGGTTGCCGGTTAGCGGTTATAACCGAAAATCGACAGTAACCGACTAACCGAAAACCGGCAAAAACCGACCTCGGTCGGTGTTCGGATGCGTATCAGAGGACTCCGGCTAGCCGGCTAACTGACCCTCACCAAAAATTTCCTTCTCCCCATCCCAAAACTGCAAAAAATCCTTCACCCCCAAATCGAATAACCTAATTCGACGACCCTTCCCTCCCCCATCTCCCCGATTCCACGCCGTGCCTCACCGCCGACTCCACCCAGTTCGCCTGCGAACCTCCTCCGTCTTTGCATTCGTCGTCGTCGCCCCGCCGCCTCCACCCTCGTCGCCCCGCCGCCTACACCAGAGAAGAAGAAGAGGTTTGGTCTGCGTAAAAGAGAGAGGAGAGAAGAGGAAGAAGATAAGGAAAGTTTTGATTTTTTTTCTTTGTTTCTGGGTAAAAGAGAGAGGAGAGGAGAGAAGAAGAAGTTTGTTTATGCGTATAAGAGAGAGGAGAGAAGAGGAAGAAGATAAGGTAAGTGTGGCTAGGATTTTCTTTATTTATTTCTTTCAATTTTTTTATTTAATTTTTTAATCTTATCTAACAAGAGGTCGGTTACTGGTCGGTTAGGCAGTTAAACCGAACTGGCCTTCACATTTTCGGTTGCCCCCGTTAAATCGCACCTAAACCGAAAACCGGCCGGTCGGTTTGCTGCTAACCGGGGCTGTTTGAACGGTCGGTCGTCGGTAGTGATTGGTCATATCTCGTTTAACCGAAAACCGAGATTTCGGTTTTCGGTTAAACCGAAACCGACCGGCTGCCACCCCTAGTTACAACTACCACATAAAGAACTGTATATCGTAGAGGGTGTTGTAATGGTTATGGAAATTGTTTAAATAGAGTTTCCATTTGAAGATTGCAGCAGGCAGTAGAGAGTTGGGTAAAATCAGTTGATAAATAATAAATTTCGTCTATCCTAAATTCCACTAAATATCAGTTGTGTCCAATATATACCATAACTAGTACAATGATTCAATAGAATATATTAGTTTTGATGAAATTATTTGTGACTACGTCTATGAAGTGTCATAAACACTCCCAATAACTCGAGTTGTTGAGAAAAAAATATACTGGATCTTATACCACTCTCTAACATGAAATAATGGACACTTATGCACTCACTGGTATCCATTGGGTTGAGTTTGAATTTTAGTCTTTAAAGTCCAATGAATCTTTTGGGTGCTGAGGTACATGCTGAGCTCAATGAGCATCAAGGTGAAGAGGAAGAACATGAGACATGAAGCGTGTCATCTGATCATGATGATGATGACGGAGACGGAGAGGAGGAGGAAGAAGAAGAAGATGGGGAAGGAGAGCAGTCTAATTATCCTCCCTATTTTTACTTGCAGGGTAATGAAGAGGACGACCGAAGGTGTCCCTGAGCCAATTACTTCATATTCAGATTATCACTACAAAAAACAGGACCTTTGGCGACGAAATTCTGGCGACGACAAAGGAAATCGTCGCAGAAAGTAGCTTTTTGGCGACGGATTTATTTATTTCGTCGCTAAAAGAGCTAACTTTCAGAAAACAAACTATATGGTTGGAGAAACTGTTTTGGCGACGAAGTATAGTTATTACGCGACAAACTTTTCGTCGCTGATACTTTGAGTGCCTTCTGCGACGACACTTTTATCGCTAAAACAATTGTGGTTTTTGCGACGAAACATTTCATCGCTAAATACCTGCTTTATGTGATGACTCATAAATGTCTCATTTTCTATGCACAAAATAACTTGAATAAATTTTTATATAAAAAATAACTTGAATAAATAATTTCTACAAGGGTTTTCACTTTTCAGTTTTACCCGCCGCCCGCTCACTCGCACAAACTAATGTTTTATTTTTGACAATATAAAAAATAAGGTTTAAGGAGAATAAAATAATGTTTTGGAAAAATTCAAATACCATGATGAGGGCCAAGAGTTTGAAACGGCGTCGTGATGTTTGCTAACAAGTTGTTAATAAGTTGGGCCTCTCATGCCTCTATCATAAACCCCACATGTGATAGGGGTGGGCGTTCGGTCGGTTCGGTTTAAACCGAACCGAAATAGTATATGCCGAATTTCCGAATTAGCCTGCACCCCAACCGAATTCGAACCGAGCTATAACTCGGTTCGGTTTGACCGAACCGAGTTATATTCCGGTTCGGTTCGGGTTACCTACCTATTCCGAACTTCCAGACCCCTCCCTCAAATCTCTCTCTGCCATTAATCCGCCTCCCACTCCCATTTTCCTCTGCCCGTCAAACTACTCCCTCCATCTCCCTCTGCTACTTTCCCTCAAATCTTGCTTTCATTAATCCTCCTCCCACCTCCTCCTCTTCCTTCTCTACCGCCGTCCAGAATCACCGTCGACCAACTCTCCCTTCCGCTCCCCCCTCTCTTCTCTTCTCTCCTCTGCGACTTTGACTGCTGCGAGGGTGGAGAGAGATGAGGCGCGCCGCCGTTGCATGCCACCATGGATCTGGAATAGGATGTCCCCGCCGTCCGCCGCAGAAGAGGCGCCCCGCCGTTGCATGTCGCCGCCGCCCGCCGCAGAAGAGGCGCCCCGCCGTTGCATGCCGTCGTGGATCTCAGATAGGGTACCGCCGTAGACAACGACATGGCACAGCCAATATCGTGAACGGCAGGAACAGATCTAGATCCCGCCTTGGTAAATCCATTATGTTTTTGTTTAATTCAAATGTTTTGTATGCTTTTGCCAATCTGTGATTTTTGTTTTTGGTTGGTTTTCTGAGTTTGGTCGGCGATGAGAAGAGAACGGAGAGAGGGGAAGGTGATGGACTCCAGTGGCCGGCGAGAGGCAGCCGTTGGCGGTAGCGCATGTACGGCAGGGGATGGAGAAGGCAACGAGGAAGGACTTTGTAAGAAGAAGAAGATTTTTGGTCTGGGCTAGGGTTTTAGTGGTAGACTTTTTCTAGTGTGCTTGGGTTTGTGGGTTTCTAATTGTTGGTTGTGTGTGTTAGAGTGGGCTTGTAATTGTGGGCTGTGTGTGGAAGCCTGGGAGGGGGATGAATTTCGGTTTGTTCGGTCAGAATTCGGAATTTCGGGTTCGGTCGAGCGACCCTGGTTTCCAAAGTGTAGAGTTTTGCCTTCCGAATTTCGAACCGAGTTACAATAGTTCGGTTTCGGTTCGGTTTTGTTCGGTTTCGGTTCGGTTCGGTTCGGGTTTACCGAACCGGATGCCCACCCCTAACATGTGATGTGATGCAGAGTCCCCCAATTCGAGCCTCTCAAACGCATCAACCCTTTTCCCCAACCCTAACCTTCGCGGCTTCACATGGCCATAGCATCGCCGCCGCCCTGGCCCTTCGATCTCTATCGCGGGTCTGGTTTCTTCCTCGAGTAGAAATATGTAATCTGTTCTTCTTCTAAAACTTCAATTCCTTGCAGACTCAAAAAGCATCTCTCGCCGGATTCAGAAAATCGAGGCCTGGAAATGCAGTCAAACGAGGGTTTGATATGAAGGTGTTGCCGAAAGAACCATTGGTCTTAGAGATAACGATGGAAGATTCGGTCGAGATGGGTGGGATTCTATTTGGATTCTTGATGAGGTACGAGAATGGTAGTTCGCTTCTCCCGCCTTTGAATTGAAGAGCATCCGTTGTTGCGGCCACCACAACTTTAGGTCCCTTTTTTCCCAATGATTCTCAGACCCAATCGCCTTGATTTGTAGATTCGTCCAGGTCGGCATATCTTCTCAGCTTCCTTGTAGTTTCAATTGATGCTTGGCCGGGTCAATGGTAGAAATCACAGCCAACATCCAACTGTTCAGGTCATCTTCTGTTCTTGATTTTATCTGCTTAGCATAGCTTGGTGAAAGTTCTCCTGTGTGAGTACCTAAGTTGATGTTTTCGTGAGAGAGAGTGGACAAGTTTGAACTAAAATATTGTTAGTTTTTATTTAAGTACTCCGTGGGAAGATCATCCAAACACCCAATGCATCTCTGTTCTTCATGCCTTTCCTTATTTTTTGTTCTCCTCTTTCACATTTTAGTTTAACTCCTTATATAACCCTTTTCGAAAGTTTGACCTCTTTCTTTCTGGCGCTTAACTTAAAATCGTCAAAGGACTAGGACAACAGTGACCCTGTGAGTTTTCTAGCAGAGTTGCAATGAAGTAATCTCCTATTTCAGCTTTCGTAGTCACTAAAGTGGAGCATCAGAGGAAGATCTGCCTGTGGGTTCGCACCAGAGGTAGAATGACAACTTGGAAAAGGATGAGTCGAGGAACCAGGTACTTTTGACTGGGGTTCTTTAAGCATTTATGTTCTAGGTGTGAACTTGATTAGATTAGGGATTTTTGTTTAATTTGTTTATCTTAGAATAGTAGTCATTGAAAGACAGATGGTCAAATGAAGAAGAGGAATTGGAAGATGCGATTTTGAGCTTTGTGTTGGTTTTTTGTCCTCTATTCGATTAAATATCTAGTCTATTACTCTACAATTTCTAAGTAGAACCATTTTTTGCTTTGCATGTAAAGCATGGACTAGAACTATTTCATGGAAGGGAGATGGCTGAAGAGAGAAAGGATGAAGGTAAACGTGATAAACAATGGTTTGGGAGCAGCTCAATGGAGGGACAAGAGTAAAAGATGCCACGAAGGGAAAGTTAGAAAGATTTTATTGGGATTACTCTTTCGACTTGAGAATAGGTATTTTTTGTAAACTTTCATTCTGTTTCCTTTTTACTTTAATTTTTAGGGCAAATACAATATATTAGCCATAACTATCAAGCAGCGGGGAATTATAGCCACAACTATCGAAATACAAATTATTAGCCAATCGTTAAGTTTTCGTTAACACTTATGTTAGTAATGATGACTAAACTTTTACGATGGTGAGCTGGCTCCCACGTGGTAGTCATCATATCATATTTTTTACGATGCTGACATGGCCTTCTACGTTAAAAATTTGAAAACAGTAACGGGCTGTTAGGCAAATCTTGACCCACAACAATAGTTATGGCTAATAATTTGTATTTCGATAATTGTGGCTATAATTCCCCGCTACTTAATAGTTATGGGAAACTATAATGAAAATGAAAACAGAAATGTGGCAGGGGTCTGCAATTTTTGGTCTTCATATGATAACTTTTGGAGGGATTGAGTGGTAGGAAAAGACAAATTGATAGTAGGTGACATATTGGTATGTTGCCATGCTCTTTTATGGAATCAAGCATGAATCAAAGACTTCTGCTCATGAGTTTGATTCTGTAAATTTCAAGAGGATTTAGTTTGAAGATAGTAAGTGCATTGATCTTGAGTTCTGCATTTGTTGGTTCCAGGCCGTTGGTCAAATATGTTACAAATGAAATTCTGGACTTTTCTAGTTGCATATTTGTGCATACCTAAATTATCACAATAACTTGTTACTTTCTTGTTGATTGATTATGTATGCAGATCATCAGCTAAGGTTGGATATTTTTGGCCAAGGAGTATGATGTTGATTTTTTTGAGTATGAACAATTAAAACTTTCATGTTAGTGTAATAGTTTTATGGAGATTGAAAATTTCATGGTTAGTGTATAGATATATTCTTTAAAGTTTTATATGTATGTATTTGTTTACGGCGAAAGGCCTTAGATTTGTTTCTATTTACAGCAGAATGTTGCTGACAGTGTATTGACAAAAGAATAACAAAATTGATTAATATTGAATTTGTATCCCATAAATAAATGACGCTTTAGCGACGCAACTATTCGTCGCCAAAAGTTGTATAACCGTGTCCAAATCAGTGAATTTGGCGATGATAACACCCGTCGCTAAAGGTTCGCGACGAATTATGTCGTTGCGGAAGTAATCTACTTTGCGACGAAAATTTCGTCGCCGAATCATTGCGACGACACATGTTTCGTCGCCAATTCCAGCACTTTGCGACGAATCTATCGTCGCTAAAGCTTCGATCTTCAGCGACGAATGGCATCTTTTGCGACGATGCACTAAAATTCGTCGCAGAAACCTAACCCGACGCGGTATAGGCGACGGACTGAAACCGTCTTCAGCGACGCCATGGTTCGTCGCAGATACATTTGGCGACAGATTTTAGGGTCTTTGGCGACGAATTTTACCGTCGCAAAAAGGCCAGTTTCTTGTAGTGTATGCTGGATGTGTAGACACCAGAAAGTCTACTTTTGGCTATTTGTTCCTTTTAGCCGCAGGGCAATTTTCATGGAAGAGTGCAAAGCAGTCTGTTATTGCCACATCCACTATGGAAGCTGAATTCATAGCTTGTTATGAAGCTACGAATCATGGTTTATGGCTGCGGAATTTTATTTCTGGACTTGGAATTGTCGACACTATTGCTAAGCCGCTGAAAATTTACTGTGATAATTCCGCAGCAGTATTCTTCTCTAAGAATGACAAGTATTCGAAGGGTGCTAAGCATATGGAGGTGAAATACTTTGTCGTTAAAGAAGAAGTTCAGAAACAAAGGGTGTCGATCGAGCATATTAGCACACAGCTTATGATTGCTGATCCATTAACAAAATGATTGCCTCTTAAGACATTTACTGAACATGTCGAAAGGATGGGGATTATAGGACGTCATGACTAAAATTATTTTATGTTTCATGGATTGACACTTTGAGCTCATTTATTTTGTTTATGGAATAAAGTTATGAATCTTGTTTTATTTATTATGATCAGTATATATACATTATGCATAATGTGAACAGAACAAGATTTTTGTCTTTAGGGAAGACATTATTGTTGGAGCATTATGAATACCTTGTTATGTGTCATATTGAGCATGAAACTAGTTTTGTGGTACATGGAAGGGACTATGTCGATAAATTGATATAGAACCGCCATGATCCTAATCTAGCTTTCATACTTGATTATGACTTTATGGTGAACCAAATATTATGGATTTATCTTATGATGTGCACACTTATGTTTATTATTAGATATTGTGATATATAATGACACATGGGCCAAGTGGGAGAATGTAAGCCCAATTCCCGTATAGATCACTAGGGAATAATTGTGGCCCAAGTGTAATTATCATTTAATGGTTTAATATATAAGGTAAGTCATATATTGGTTAGGTTAATGAAAGGTAATTTCCTAATATACCCTGATGGTGGGTCTATATAAAGAAATCCTAGGATTGGTCCTCTTTCAACCCATTATATAAAATTTCTTAGCCGTCACAGAAATCTCTAAACCTAAAACCTAAAGGGGTCAAGAGAGAGAAACTCAATTCCGGTGATTACTACTCAAGCCGTCGTTGCTGCTCTCGTCATGGATCGAGATAGATTTTCTTGATCTATTACCGATTTGTGAAATCATCTAATTTTAAGATTCATGCTATTATGTTTTACATCTCAAGAATTATTCATGAATTATCTTTTGTTTACAGAAAATTCATGAATGACCTTAAAATGATTTAGCCCGAAGTTTCTGCTACAAAACCAAAACAACTCGTTTCCATATTTTATTATTATTATTATTATTATTATTATTATTATTATTTTTTAGATGTTTCCCTCTTTTTCTATTCGTGCCCCTCGTTGAGAAATTAAAAGGCCCCTTCTTGTAATCGGCTCTGTGGGTGGTCCAATAGTGCCCACAATTATCAATTTCGAGGCCTGAATCAGAATGAATAAAAGCCCACTTCTCTTCTACCTTTTCTAGGCCGCAGATCCGTCCGGCCCGCAAAGCTGCTTGGCCAGAGATGAGATGACGATCGCCTTATCAGTGAATGGGTCATCCCACCGCCACGTGTCGGACCCATATCCATAGACCATACTTGTTGTTTCCCATCCTTCGATTTTCAGCAGGAAAATAAAAAAGTAAATTATTATTAATTAAAAAAAAAAGATGAATAAAATAACACCAAGAGAGCAAGAGAAGAAGATAAGCCACTTGTGGAGGCCACAATCACTCTGCTACCAAAACCTCACATTCCTTCCACCTCCCCCCATTAGCCATATCATCATATATCCCCAAAAATCCCCTCACTCATTCCCCAACTCGCAATTACTGCAACAATGGCTTCCCTCCCAATTATGTTTGCTCCGGCTACAGTGAATGTGTTGGCAGCCACCGCGGCCAAAGGAGCCGGCGGGAGCAAAGAAGAGAAGGGCCTGCTGGACTTCATTCTGGGCAGCTTGACCAAAGAGGATCAGTTCTACGAGACCGACCCAATTCTCAAGAAAGTCGAGGGCAAGAGCGGCACCACCAGCAGCGGCGGGACTACTTCCGGCAAGAAAAACTCCGTGGCTGTCCCCCAGAAGAAGAAGAACGGCGGGTTCGGCGGCCTCTTCGCCAAGAAATGAGTTCGCCAGAGAGCAAAAAGGAACATATCATATTGTTAGCTTGTTTTTTGGTTGCTAATCTCTTCCTCCCGTCTGTGTATGTTTCCTTCTCCGTCATAATGATTCATGTTCCTCCTTCACCGTGCATTCTACTGTACCCTTCTATTCCATCTTTCCTGTGCTACGGACTTGGAAACTGATTTCTGGGTATCATCTGTGCGGGTTGATTGCCTCAAACAACATCATAACATTGCGAATCTAAACTAATTCACACTGGATTTCAGCTGATTAGAGGAACTCAAATTCCCTTTTTAGAACAATTACTGATCCTTCAATCAAAACTCAAAGATAGCAGGAAATCTGTAACAAGTAAATGACATTAGATTACGTTACTACATTGACAAACCCTATATCTCTTGCATCTGGTGCTCCTTAGTGGACTTTGCTTCCCGATGAAAACTGAAACCGGATGTTTGAAGATGGTCTCTCTCTCGCTCGCTCCCTGGCAGAAGCTTGGCGCTTAGATTCTTCTTCTGGGTTTTCGAAATAATTCAATTCTACTCGATCGCTGCAAGATTTGGGTTTACACGGAGACAGATTTGGATCGAGGCAGAGTAGAGGAGTGGTTGATGAACTCAATACATTCCTCGATGGCCTCTTTTCTGTAAACATCAATTGGCGCCACAAATTGCCTTGACCCTCCCCCCGCAGAAGAAGAAGAAGAAGAAGATACCCGGCTCGAAGCTCTGCACTTCAAACAGATGGCTTTGGACAGCTTATCAGCCAGATGCCTGAAAAATCTCCCCGGCGGCAACAACTCTGATCTCTTTGGCCTCCTGCAGAACCTGAAACCCGGACTCGACTCGCCTGATCTGCATTTACCACTGTCTCCCCCTTTGCCGATTCCTCCTGGCGTGTGATTTCCTTGACTGTTGCTCTTCGTGAGCATGGTTGTGAATCAGATGGTGAGGAGGGATTAGGAGTTGCAGAGCTTGAGTAGTGACAATATCTGTTATTATATATACAAAAAAGTTCTGTTGTTGGACGGGTGAAAAGAGAGAATCGCGATCCTCTGAAAGGCCTGCCGCCCTGCCAGAGAAAAAACAAAAAGTAAGCAGATCCCCGTCTTAGGAAATGGATCAACAGTGTAAACATGGATTAGGATAACTGCAAACTCCAGCAAGAGAGCTCATTGGATTTGGATGAATAACAAGAGTTTTGTAGTTAGGTGGTAGAGCAAGTCGTCAAAAATGAGTTCAAACCTGTATGAATGGCTGTAGGAAAGGAAGTAGAGTTGGAATGCTCACTTGTGTAAACGACAGAGAGGGAATATATAAACAAGGGCAAAAATCATCACCTCAGGAAGCTGTTTAGGAGTAAAAGGACAGAGGAACCCTAAATGCTACGCTACAGGGTTTCTTATAGCATGTTTGTTTGGTATCAGACTTCCATTTAGGGGTGTACATGGGTCGGGTGGTCCGGGTTTAGGCATTTTAATCACCCGACCCATGCACTACGGTTTGGAAAATATTAAACCCAAACCCACCCAAAAAAATCTAAACCCTACGGTTTGTTTCTAATTGGGTTGGGTCGGGTTGGCGATATTTTTAAGTAAAAACCCAACCCAACACAAAATATGTAATTATACTACATCATAAAAATATTTTATAACAAATTAAAAATTCAAACGAATAAACCGAGGTGAAAGGTATCAAAATTCACAAATATTGTTAGAATTTTAATAAAACTTGATTTACTTCAACTTATGTCTAGTTTTTTTCACGACATTTGTTGAAATAGGCTAAAAAGGTTACAAATGAACACATCCATAATATGATATTCTTTTAAAATTGTACACAAGAAAAAAAAATTACTTGAATCATGGCTATATTAAATATATGTCTAAACTTTAAGTCGAAGAATGCATTAGATTAGTGAGACTTTAAGAGAAAAATATGGTGAAATATCTTAATTTTCTCATAAGTATGACTATATACGACATAAATACTTTTTTGGATACAAACTCGTACCAATAATTGGAACACGGGTTGGGTCGGGTTCTACGGGTTGTGTAATCCAAAATCCAAACCCAACCCAAAAGAGGCGGGTTGTACAAAAGAAAACCCTCACCCAACCCAAAACCTTCAATTTAGCGATAAATACGGGTGGGTTGGGTCGGATTGGACGGGTGGGTCGGTTTGCGGGTGTATTTGTTCACCCCTACTTCCATTCCATGCTATTATGTGATGTGGTCGTGATACTGTTATTTAGTTTCCTGCACCAGCACGTGATGTCGCACTCACACACAAGCAATGCAGTCAAAATCGGGATTTTGATCGTAAAATCGTAGGATTTTAGGATTTTACTTAGGGATTCCGATCCTGATTTTACTATAAAATCGGTGGACCTTAAAATCGGGGTTAAAATCGTAAAATCGTACCAAACTCGGATTTTGATCGTATGAGAACAAAATATGTGGTTTGAGCCAATTTAAAAGAAGCATAACTGTTTCAGCGCAAAGGGCAATGACATGAATCTTCTCACATGTTTTTCTATTAGAAAAATATTTAAAAATAATAAAAATAATCAAATTAGGGCTCTGTTAATCCATTATCCTTCGTCCCATTTGACTTATTGGTAAGACAATTGCATGTCCTAGTATTGGAAGTATGCAAGAATTAACATTATTATTAACTAGTTTATTTATTAATGAATATATTTATACCAAGCCACTATCATTACTTATTTTATTGGAGTTCAATTATTTTTAGTTTTAAATCATACTTAGTAGACGATGTCGGAATATTACTTTATGTTAAACTACCTAGACACAACATGAAAACAAGAGGGAAACCCCATGAGCTTTATCCCTTCATCATGAATTATTTTGAGTTGCGCATTAAATAACAATTAAAATAGTAATTTTGGAACATTAATCTTGATAATTATCATTTTAAATGTTATGTGTCTTTGTGTTATTAATGATTTACCTCACTAATATTCTTATATGTTATGTTCTATATAGTACTTAAAATCTTACGATTTTACGATTCGATTTTAAGATTTCGATTTTACCCCAGTTTTCGATTTTAGGTAAAATCCCAATTTTAACTGCTTTGCACACAAGTCACGAAAGATACTTGTGGTTCATTTTATGTAGAGAGTGTGCTTGTTCAAATACCTCTTGCATCCTACTTTTCATGTATTCGATATTATGTTACTTTCATACACATTATGAATTAGTTGCGGTATTCCATAAATAATATATATATATATATATATGCTGGCTACTTCGGTGCACTCATTTTTTTGGGTGCATTCAGTGCACTCACCTCTAAAAGTGGTTATAATACATTAATTTTGAAATTTAATGGATTGTATTAGTCTAATATGATGATATAACATAGAATCCTAACTAATCAACCCATTACCCTAACCTATTAACCTTCAATTTTGAATCTCAACCCAAAATCCCAAATTGTAAACCCTAACCCTAAATTCCTAAACCCTGAATCATTCAAATTAAAGTGAATTTTGAATAATTTTTGAACAAATTCATGTGGTTCTTGTTCATCATACCACAAGTGATGATTGATATCGTTTTCACATGAATTGCCTGCTCAGAATGACGATTATGAGGCGAAAGTGAGTGCACCGAAGACATAACCATATATATATATATATATATGGTCGATTACATTTATTTGTAGCTAAACATCTCCCAAGTACGATTAACCCAACATATCATAAACAAACTTCTTTCCATTCAAGTTCCCCTAATTTCAAAAATCTTGAATGGAGGCTAAAGTCATTCAAGGTGATTTTTCCTAGATGGAAAAATTCTTATACTATATCAAATGCTCCAACAACCGCTCAGACTTCAATTATAAAGATTACTAGAAAAAATGCCCGCTGCTACGCCGCGGGGACTTAAGTTGCACAGTCGTACTGAATGGATGGACAGTTTTGTTTATTGTCAGATCAGGTTGTTGTAGTTTTTTCCTGTCCTATGTAAGGAGGTGGAGAGTTATGTTTGTGGGCATTCCATCTACTAATCAATACCCACGACGTACGTTCCATCTACAAACCAATACCCGTGACTACGTAGCAGGAACTAAAGTTGCAATAACATGATCATGTATCATGGCGAGTTTAGGTGACAGTAAAGTGGGATCGTTGCGCCACTGGCAATCGTGTGGGTTAGGAAATTTTGAAAGTAGGAGACTTGATCATCTTGCTAATGGAAAAAAGTAAAAAAAGTGTAAGAGCATTTTGATTGAAGAAAACAAAGAAAGTACAGTCTGGTGTAATTCAAACAAAAATAAACGACAATGATTGAAGAAAGCTAGCAGCATTAATGATGAACTTAAGCAACCATTTTGATTTTATTAATGATAAGGATTGAGCAATCAAGAATCACATTCAACCAGGGGTACAACGTTCTATCATCTATGATCAAGATACATGAATAGTTTGCCTTCATTGCTGATACAGAGGATAAAGTGGGAGAGAAACACTTAGGTTGCGTGTACAATTACAGGGATGTGGATTGGTTGGGTGCAGTTCTTATCAAAGCTCGACGACAACCACAGTGGAATTAGCAAGCCACCGTGTCACCTTGCAACTCCGGTATACCTTGTGCAGCTTCACCGCCCTTGTAAACTCCTTTGCATCTCGGAAACGTCAAACCCGTAGAGATGGCAGGAGAAGAGGTCTCCCTTCACCAACTCCTTAACCACGTACCTCCCCATCCAGCATCATATAGTGGCACTGGTAAAGCTTTTGCACAAAGAGCAAAAGTAACATAAGATATTAATCTATTTCATAAAATGGGACGGGAAGTTAATTGTTAACCTCAACAACCAGTGCAAATATCAAATATGTATTAGTCTATTCTAGATTAACCTCTCTTTGGACCGATGTATTTATATCTCTAAGCATGACCAAATAGACACATCGCAAAATATTCTAGACAAAAGAAAGGCTGCAAGTTCATCTAACTACTCAATCAATACAGGTCACTCCCATGATTTGAAACCCATTATAGCTATGATGAATTTACAGCCGAGAATTAGGCATCATGAACCTAACACACATTTTCTTTCAAAATTTAGGAAAACCAACAGAATGTTAAGATGACACTGAAGGGAAAAGGGCGAAGGTCGCATTCTTCCACTGCTATAATATTCAGTCATCAAATTTTAAGTAGGCGGGAACTTACTTCGTAGTCAGCACCTAATAGTGACCTGCTCATTACTGGAAGTACTTGGTTTAGCATAGCCTATTTTTTGCAACCATCCTTGATCATACATGCACGACAGGAGAAACGTTCCAAACAATACAACTAAGAGTCTTCAAATAATTACTTAAGCAGGAAATGAAGAAAGAAGATGATGATGAATAAGATACCAAACCTGAAGTGGGCACCCTAAGCATATTACTGCTGAAGCTGCAACGTCCACCTCACCATGGCATCCACCATGCAGCTCATTCTTGAACAGAACAAAGGAAAATAGTTTATAAGGAAAGAAACTTGTTGGAGTGGTAATCATAATGACATGTTACCTGTTATTGGTGCTTCAGCCGTTCGATTAGAATATGTAATGAATGGTAGAATATTTATCAACGTCCTTCCCCATGGCTTTCCCAGCAAAGATTAGAGGATGTCCCAGGGAACTTCTTTGTGGCCTGTTTCACACTTCTTTGTGAAATCGGACCAGTCTTTCATCTTTAGGGGGATCCCTCTCTTTTCCCCAAACATATTCTTCCAAACACATCTTCCAAACACAAAGTTAAGACTCAAATCAATATCTGAAGTGACCGAGTTCATTTAACTCACTGCTAACCTTAAATTAGTAGAAGAAATTGAAAAAGAAGAATCAACTCACAATGATAGTCAACGGTGACGACGTTAAGAGCATCCGGAACATTCTTGAGCATCTCCTTCCACTTTCATAGGCTTGTACACCTTAACACTTTCTTTTTCTTGTCCTGGGTCCCTCCACAATGGTTGCCGAAACTTGTTCCTTTGCAAGACAGTATCTAGCAGCAAACATACATTCATGAGAAGAACAATAAAACTAAATTGACATGGTTGGTTTTGATTCAGATATCCCCTATGTAAAGAAACATCAAACCCCCCTCAAAACTAACGACCAAAACCAATCCAAATAGCATGAATCGATCTCCCGATTATTTATTTTGAACTGCATAGAAAGAGGATTGAGTACCGAGATTGATTTTTAGCAAAGGGAACCAGTAAATTGGGCGTCGAACTAAGCTTCTTCTCAAGTGAATTGACCTCCAACAGCAGAGACTCGAAGCTCTAGTTGGGCTCAGGTTCAACCAAACCTGTGAACTCTTTGCCGACAATGATGCTCTAACTCCATAGGTCCCCTGAACAGAACATTGAAGTCAAAAATCGTACCCCTTCCAACTTTGCAGTGAAACTGAAACTGCCTACCTCTCGGTGGATTTTCTTTTGCTTTCTGGTCTTTCGCCCCTCCTTGGTCGCCGCCGAGCTTTTTCCCTCTTCCAATCTGAACATCGGCGCTTGCCTTCACCAGCGCACCCTAAGAAACAACGGGGAAAGTTCTGAACCAGAAAGGCGAGCCAATTTTTGTGGGTGAGAGGGAGAAACAGCAGAGGGAACTCACCAGTTCATCTATCCAAAGTGTTGAGAACTCGGTGAAAGAGGAAAGTGAGGGGAGATAGAGAGGAATCGGAGGGGAGTAAACCTTAGGTCGCCCGACCAACCATAGAGAGGGGCAAAGACACAGACCTACAATTGGTAGGGGTAGCGTGTGGAGTAAAATCGGGTTGGCGTGCTGACCACAAAAGCATGGTCCTCCATGGAAGAATTGAGGTGAGTTTGGCCCTGAAGAAAGAGAGGACAGCAGGGCAACCCGCAATCACGGACTTTGCGGCAAGGCGGCATGGGTTTCGCGTAAGGTATACGGAGGTGGCGGAGACCGAACTCTGGAGGCGAGACGGCCGCGGAGGCAGGCCATAGTGGTAGATGGAAGAGAGACCCAAAGACCGTTTTCAGTAGGCGACAAAGAATGAAACAGTAGTCACAAGTTTGGGCCAATAAAGTGTAGTCCGCTATTATATATAAGATAATTAGTACACGACTCAAATCTTTTCGAACAAAGTTGAAAAGTGGGTGTTTGATGCCCTGTGGAATCTAAGTTGCGTTTAAACTACTTTTGTGAAGATTCCTTCATAGTTCTAGCACTATAACTTTTTCTACTTCAATAAAAAAAGTCTTTCCTAGACGGAGAGCTACACAACTGTAATTATTTCAAGGAATATTTTCATTTAGGCCATGTTCACTTCCATTTTCGTTTCCTGTTTTCTGTTTTCATGTTACAAATTTGGCAAACGAAACGAGAAAACATGTTTACTTTTCATTCTGTTTTCTATTCGTTTCCAACTCTGAAAACAGAAAGTGGCAGCTTCCTACTGTTTTCGAAAACGAAAAAATGTCGTTTTCACCTGTTTTCAACATCTGTTTTCTCAAAAACAGGAAACAGAAATGAAAGTAAACATGGCCTTAGGAAACATCATAAAGAAAATTATCTGGGAACCATATTGTTATTGTATATATAACGGGCTGCAAACTTTTCCAAGTGTGAACTCAAGAAAGAAGGATTCGTATCTCCCTGCTGCTGCTTCTGCTTGTGGGAAATTAGACGAAAGGAAGTGCAACTTCCCCCACGTCTGCAATCCCAAAGCTCTCTTTTTGCCTGCACCACAATCAAAGAAGCCGGTGGTCTAAACACGGAGATACTGCCACTTACTCGACCTGAGGGCAGAGGATTCAAAACTCCATTGCTGAATTCCTCCACCTATCTTTTTAGCTTTGCAAAAGCGGTTCTCCAGATAAGGCATATCTTTCGGTAAAACCAACCAAGGCAAAGTGAAAATCTTGGAAACTGATTCCGATCAAAAGACAAAATAGATGTCAAAGGTGCTTTAAAAAGCTGGCATGTCCAATCCAGTCCGGCCGTCCAGGCAAACCAAAGATCTCGACGTTGAAAGGGCCGATCTTTCACAACCTAGAACCTTCAACCCAGGAGAACCTTTCATATGGTCGGAGACAGGAGTAGACCAGGTGTGACATAGAATGACAGCAGACAAATATTTACTGTGCCGTGACGAATCGATGTGTAGTGTTAGGTGTTTGTGTAGTCTCTACATCAGTAGACATAATCACAGAAGTGCATGTTAGATGCATCTATATTGTATTTGCCTTGTTCACTTGATTGGACAAGACACAAGACCAACAAATAAGATAGATGTGACCAACAAATTAGGACAGTTTGCCAGTTGGTAAGCTATACTCAAACGAGCATACTACCTACTGATCTTTAGTAAGTAGATATAGGGTTGCTGCATATTTGTGCCAAAAAGAGTTCACAGAAGACTTTGACAAGGGAAAACAACAAAAAGCTAGCAGCCAACTTTGATGGACGACAGGAGGGAGGCTGAAATGGCACTATCTAGCTAACCAGCTTTGCAAGATAAACAGAAGCAGTTTCAAGATGAATCAGGATGCGGTGGTGTGCATTTGGCAGCTTAGAACCACTTCCTGGCTAACAATGGGCATTCAACATCTCAAATGCATTTCAGTAAGACATGGGATGCGCTGTAATGACGCCGGAAATACATACCAAGAGACATAAACATATCTGTAACCACTGATTCATTAGGTTAACCATACTTCACATCCTGATAGGGGCAAGCAATGCATCTAGTTGACCTCCATGATGGAACTAATGGACAGTAACTTTTCAACTGGTGATAAGGAGAATGACAGGTCATGGCTTGCTTAAAACCTGGGGCCAAAAAAAGCAAAGTGAATGGCTTACAGCCTTCTAAAAGAATAGAAGCCTTTCCACCATCCCTTAGTGTGCAACAGTGGTACATACTAAATGTAAACATCAACACACAGTTGAAACCCCCAAGATACTCTACACCCTTTAAGGCTATCTAGTTACAAAAGAAGAGGAACACACCTAGACACGTATTCAAAGTGCACACCTAGGCATACACTGAACATCAATCATCATGACACTACAACAGAATATGTAATAGTAAGAAGGAAAAAAGGAGGGGGGAAAGAACACTAATCTTGATGGTTCATGACAAGTAAAACCTCGGAGCCATGACCTATAACGTAATCCAAGAACCCCCTAACCTCCTCACTATCTTCAAAAGCGACAGGGTGCCTAAGATCGCTATCCAGGTTATACCAAACCCCATCAATCTTTCTCATGGCCACCCAGTGCCTGCCTTTCCACAATCCAACGTAGCGTCTAACAGGGACATTGAGCACAATACCGTAAAGACTCCCCTGAGGGTTCTCGAGGTCGATGGTGGAAGCTCCATTTCGCCTGTCGTGCCAAACCACGGTCTTGCCTTTCTCTTCCAGGGCGGAAATCAAGACATTGATGTCGTAATTCCCGGTGAAAGCATTGTGGTGGGGCTTGAAGACAACGGAAAACGGCGTCCAGCCTTGCTTGTTGGGATCATCCAGTATCAGCTTCTCTGCAATGGAATTCAAGCTGGGTCGAGTGAATGCGTCTTTTTGCTGCAGTAACGCCAGGCAAGAAGGAAATGAGAACAAAAGAAGAAACACCCGCATGAATTGTGATGCCAATTTTAATCACTCTGATGAAGGAAGGAAGGAAGAGAGGTAGTCAGGTAGATGGATTGTTTACCTGGAAGAGGTTGTTGAGAGCGTGTAAAAGGCAGAACTGCAGCCTTTGCCTTTCGTGATAGATTACAGTCTTCGGGATATCCGCCATCTCCGTTAGCCGCAAGAAAAACAGATGGGACAGTTTTCGCTTTCTGGATACTGATCTTTTGGGGAACAATTTTGGTGTTGGAGTAGCTAGGAATTTGGAGGACCCGTACAATTTGAGTTTCTAGGGTTTTAAACCAATTAGGATGCAGACTGCAGAGTTTAATTCGGTAATTCCCATAAGAAACAGGTTGCCTTACTATCCTCCTATAGGACGTTTTGGGGTGGGAAACGGTGGGGTCCGGACCAAACCAGATTATAAATACGGTCTGTGGTCTAGATTGAGAGGTTGGAATACAGATTATAGACCATGCCATATACTATATGGTACAGATCAAACCACGCTTGTACGGTGCGATCCGGTACGATCTGGACCAGACAGACCATGTTAAAAAATTTTACTCTTGTGCCGCCCTCCAACCTTTCGCCTGTATCTATAAAAATAAAAATTCTAGTGACCAATATGCTCGTGACCATGTTGAAAAATTCTAATGACCAATATGCAAGGATGGTCACTGGGTTTACTAAAACCATTCATGTTTGGTCACTGCAAATATTTAATTTCATTCATGGTCACTAAGATTAGTTCAATAGTTCAAGTTTGGTCACTCTCCGTTAGTTTTTGCTGATGTGGCAGTCAACTATTATAGTTGACCGTTAAATGAGTGATGTCACCATTAAAAAAATAATAAAATTTAAATATTTACAATTTTCACCTCATTTTACAACTATTAAAAAATAAAAATAAAACTTACCTCCACTATCTACGCCACCGTTATTCTGATCCCTCCTCATTTTACAACTAATCAAGGTTCAAGAGTGCTTCGGCGTTCTTTGTAACGCAGACGCTGCGTGGACTGTCGAGGGACGGGAGAACTGTGATTGCATCCATCCACCAGCCGAGCAGTGAAGTGTTTGAGCTCTTTGATCGACTTTACCTTCTCTCTGGTGGCAAAACAGTGTATTTCGGCCAGGCTTCAGATGCCTACGAGGTTCAGTTCACGCTATGGATTCTTTACTTTTCTGTGTTCTCTCCTTCTCCATCTCTGCAATCTCATAGTAATTTTCTTTATCAAACAGTTCTTTGCGCAAGCCGGATTCCCCTGCCCTGCTTTGAGAAACCCATCTGATCATTTCCTCCAATGCGTCAATGCCGACTTCGACAAAGTGAAGGCCACTCTCAAAGGATCCATGAAACTGCGGGTACCCCGCCTTTGTTCTCTTTTCTTTTTCTCCCCTTTCCCCCAGTGAAAACTAGCTTGATTGATTTCACCCACCCTTTGGTTTGTTTATCAGTTCGATGCATCGGAGGATCCTCTGGATAAGATCACCACAACTGAAGCAATCCGTACTTTGGTTGATTACTACCGAACTTCTCAGTATTGTTATGCTGCAAGGCAGAAGGTGGATGAGATCTCCAAAGTCGTAAGTGCTCTGTTCCTGATTATCAAAATAGTGGAACGAAGGCCAATTATGATTTTCTGAATTGCATTTCATTTTTTGGTATCTGCAGAAAGGGACGGTGCTTGATGCAGGAGGGAGCCAGGCTAATTTCCCGATGTAGGCTTTCACTCTGACCAAGCGCTCCTTCGTCAACATGTCAAGGGATTTCGGTTACTACTGGCTTAGGCTCGTCATCTACATCATGGTCACCATTTGCATAGGAACCATATACTTCAAATTCGGCACTAGTTACAACTCAATCCTGGTAATTAAGAAGAAAGAAAGAAAGTTCGTTACTTTCGAGATCTTGTTGACATTCTGTGTTCTCTGCCTCTAAGTTTACACTCTCTCTGTTTCTGAACCCAGGCCAGAGGCTCCTGTGCTTCATTCGTCTTCGGTTTCGTCACTTTCATGTCCATTGGAGGCTTCCCATCTTTCGTGGAAGACATGAAGGTTAAAACAATTCTGCAACAACTTGATTAGTGTTCTTCGCAGAAATTGGACCGATTCTGATTTTCTGATGCTTGATTTCCATGGTAACCCTGCTTCAGATTTTCCAAAGAGAGAGGCTGAATGGCCACTCTAGGGCAGGTGGAGAATGAAGCACAGCCCGGGGAGTGGCGGCGGAGGTAAGTTTTATTTTTATTTTTTTAATAGTTGTAAAATGAGGTGGAAATTGTAAATATTTAAATTTTATTATTTTTTTAATGGTCACGTCACTCATTTAACGGTCAACTATAATAGTTGACTACCACATTATAAAAAACTAACGAAGAGTGACCAAACTTGAACTATTGAATTAATCTTAGTGACCATGAATGAAATTAAATATTTGCAGTGACCAAACATGAACAGTTTTAGTAAACCCAGTGACCATCCTTGGAATTAACGTGCAGAGTTTAATTCGGTAATTCCCATAAGAAACAGGTTGCCTTACTATCCTCCTATAGGACGTTTAGGGGTGGGAAACGGTGGGGTCCGGACCAGACCAGATTATAAATACGGTCTGTGGTCTAGATCGAGAGGTTGGAATACAGATCATGGACCATGCCATAGACTATATTGTACAGATCAAACCACGCTTGTGCGGTGCGATCCGGTACGATCTGGACCAGACAGACCATGTTAAAAAAATTTACTCTTGTTCCGCCCTCCAACCCTTCGCCTGTATCTATAAAAATAAAAATTCTAGTGACCAATATGCTTGTGAAACAAAAAATTTGTGATTGTAATTAAATATGAAGACATATATGAGGAGAGAATTGAGTTTTTTCAATTTTCAAACTCTCACTCCAGTCTCCACGACTCTATACAGTATCCTTTAAAAAACACACACATCAAAACTTTGTTTCCCTATTTCTCTTTGTGCTACCGCTTCTCTCCCTCTGTCGGATGATCAAAGGTTCTCGCGGTTGATAATCTTCATGATGACGTCGAGATCGTTTTGAACCACTAAGATGGTCGCTTATCTCTCAATAATTTTCCTTATCTCATCAAGGTGAATGAATTTTTTCTAGTGTTTATGTTTAATTGACTCCATAGTCTAGACATGGTCAATGAATATTATTTATTGTGTGGTTCTTTGATAAGGAGATAACACATAAGCGATCATTTGGGCAATTTGTTGGCTCTCAACTGGATGAAGAATCAACTAACTTTGTTCTTCAAAATATAGTTAGTAAAATACGGTACGGGAAAGTTACGTACAAAATACGTACTTGTATTATATTTCGTCTCTTAGCTAATGTTACGTTTAATAGTAAGTTAATAGTCATACATATATAAAATTAATTATTTTTATAAATAATAAATATAAAAAATAGTAAAGTTAATAGTTTATTTCATTAAATACGGATATTAAACATGTTATACGCATTTTATACGTGTTTAGTATGGGAGCCGTCAAATGAACGAAAACTATTGAAACGGCTTGACAATAATACAGATACAGAAGTTTTATATGGATAAAGTACGTACGGGTAAATATACGTGTATTAAACGGAGTATTTACTAACTATGTCAAATACACAAATTGAGGTTTAATTTAGTGTATATTTTGGTTTGAGTTAGTAGGTAGTGTGTCACGGTCTGTTGCGATTTACTACGATAGACCGTGGTCCAGACCACACAATAAAGAAGGAGACCGCAAACCAGACCAGACCAGACCACACAATAAAGAAGGAGACCGCAAACCAGACCAGACCATAGTTCCAGTCTCACGGTCTAGACCAAACTATACGATACGGTCTAGACCATGGTTCTCCATACAGTTTGGTCTAGATTCCCAGCCCTATATAGGTTAGCATCGCGCTAACCATAATTTTAGTTTGGATGCACCATTTTAGTTATGTGGTACGAATCATAATGTTGCATTATTTTGTTATGTGACATTTTATGTGGTATTTCAATTTGAAATGTGATAATTCGTCTAATTGTATTATTTGTATAAAACATTCAAATATTGTAGTATTTCACTACTTAATGAAGGGGTGAAGTGAAAAAAGAAGTTGAGAGATGAGTTACTTAAAATAATTATGGGGTGGGGAGGTATTTCAAATAAGTCACAATGAGTTATTTCAATTGTCTCATGGACAAAAAACATATTTCATTTTATTTTTGCCAAACGAGTTATTTCGACCGCAATAACTCATTCGGCCGAAATAACTCATCGAATTATCTCATTCAAACGACCTGTTACTATCGTTAATTGCTTTTCCGTAGGAATGGTAACTGGTGGGATTTGGATAAATATCATCAAATCAATGCCCCACCTTGCTTTTTAAGTCTACGATCCACTCTGCCTCGTGCTTCGCAACAGCACTTGTCGATCCAAACATTGCCCCATGCGGGACAATTAAAATCCTCGACGTCCTTGGGAAAACCGATGCGGGATTGGTGGTAATATAGAGGAATGTATTGATCGTTTTGTGGCAAATGACGACCGGAAAGAACTCTTTGGAAATGCTAGGGTGTTGAATGGGGAGGCGGAAAAATCGGACCACAGACCTATAATATGTGATAGCCTCGGTGAGGAAGATGATGAAGTAAAGTGGAGCTGGTCTTTTAGATTTGAATCACATTGGGTGAAACATGGTGACTGCCCGCGAATCGTGGAGGAGGCGTGGAATGCGACGGGAGGAAGTGTGTTCACAAGATTTGAACAGGTACGCAACAAGCTGTTAGATTGGAGCCTCACCACATTCCCAAATTTTGGGAAGCAAAAGCGTCGTATTAAAAAAGCTCTCCAAGTGCTTGATAGAGTTCCCAAGACGGAACTGGTCCTTCAAAAACGAAGGCAATTACAATCTGAACTGGAGGAGGTAGAATGTGATGAAGAGATAATCTGGAAGCAGAGGTCGAGAGCCGACTGGATACGGGGCGGAGACAAGAATACTAATTACTTCCATAAAAAAGCAACTGCTCGACGAAAGCGAAACACGATCAAAAGATTAAAGGATGAGACTGGCCGATGGTATAGAGGAACGGAGGAAGTGTTCACCTGTTTGCTAGACTACTTCGGTGGCCTTTTTAAAGCAGGCAAACGACCTGACCAAACTCTGGTACTTGATTCGGTGGGGTCCGTGTTACACCAGAGATGAACCAAAATTTGGTACGACCGTTTTCGAGGGAGGAAATACATGGAGCGCTTCGTCAAATGAGGAAAAGAAAAGCTCCTGGGGAGGATGGTTTGTCAGTCCTATTCTTGGTGAAGTTGTGGCACATAGTGGGGGATGCAGTTACTGCGTTGATCATGGAGGTCTTTGAAAGGGAGAGCCTGCCACCAAACCTCAACCATACATTGATAGTCTTAATTCCAAAAGTGAAGGATCCGTTGACGTCTATGTAATTAATGTGCTTTACAAGATTATTGCAAAAATATTGGTGAATCGAGTGAAGATGTTTTTGGATAGTGTCATCTCAACAGAGCAAAGTGCGTTTGTGCCGGGACGTTTCATTGCAGATAACATTATGACGGCTTTCGAATGTTTCCACACTATGAAGATTAAATCCAAGAACAAGAAAGGCTACTTTGCCGCAAAAACAGATATGGCGAAGGCTTATGACAAGGTTGAATGGTAGTTCCTAGAAGAAATAATGAGAGATGGGATTTGAAGAGAGATGGATTTGGTTGGTGATGATGTGTGTTATGACTGTCTCTTACTCCATCCTTGTGAATAGACATCGATCGCCAGTGTTTACACCGAGTCATGGACTCCGTCAGGGTGACCCTCTCTCACCGTACCTTTTATTGGTGGTGACAGAAGGGCTCTCCTCTTTTACTGCGAGAGCTGTCCAGGAGAAAAAGTTACATGGTTTGCAGGTCGCTAGGGGTGCTCCGGTGATCTCACACCTGTTTTTTTATGATGACTCTATTTTATTTTTTATTTTTTGCCAGGGTTACTATAAATGAAAGCATGGAGTTGAAGAGAATCCTCAAGGCGTATAGCGTGAATGCGAACAACTGATTAACTTTGAGAAGTTGGAAGTGTACTTTGGGGCGAACTTCAAACCGCATCAAAGGCTGTAGGTGGGCTCCGCTCTAGGCATGAAGGTGGTGGAGAAACACGACAAGTATCTAGGCCTAGCAACAGAAGCAGGGAGGTCAAAGAAAGAGCTTTTTGTAATCTTAAAGGAGCGGTTAGGAAGAAGTTGTCGGGATGGAAGGAAAAGACTATGTCAGTGGCGGCACGAGAGGTACTCATCAAGTCCGTGGCCCAAGCTCAACTTAACTATGCGATGTCGGTCTTCAAATTTCCTAAGGGAATAATTGACGACATCCATAGTATTATCATGCGGTTTTGGTGGGGCCAGCAGGGAAATGAGAAGAGAATCACATGGATTGTGAGGGAGAAACTACTAGAAACGAAGTCCAATGGCAGTATGGGGTTTCGAGACCTGCGAGTCATGAATTTAGCTTTCCTAGCTCGACAATTATGGAATCTTCATCAGCGCCCTCAGTCCTTAATTGCCAAGGTGATGAAAGCCAAGTACCATAAACATCATTTGGTTCTGGAAGCGAAGGTTGGACCTCGGTCGAGCTTTGTATGCCGGAGCCTAATGTGCACACAAGAATGGTTATGTGATGGGCAAAGATGGCAGATCGGAAATAGGGACCAGGTGAGGATCTTAGGAGATCGTTGGATCCCTTCTGTGCCGGGTTTTTTTGTCCAGTCCGCACCAATGGGACTTCCGGTGGACTCGAAAGTGAGCTAATTTATTGACCTGCAAACAGAACAGTGAGAATCAACATTAATTGAAAGCTGCTTTCCGACAGTGATGGCTCAGGCAATTATGCAAATTCCACTGCGAGGAATCGATGAGGCTGATTAGCTTATTTGCATCGAGAGTCAGCATGGTAAGTATGAGGTGCAATACGGGTACCGAAAATGGTTAGAAGAGTTTCCTCGAACGCATGATATTCAACCGGTTGGGGAGGTGAGGGTGTGGAATAGTATCTTGAAGATGAACGTGCCCCCAAAGGTTAGACATCTCATATGAAGATTTGCGCGTAACTCATTGGCGATAGGTGATCGTGTTAGCTCCAAAAGCGAAAGAAGAGGAGATGCATGTCATTTTTGCAACCTGAGAGAGACACAACTCCATCTTTTTGGGGAATGCAGCTGGTCGTGTTAGATTTGGAGAACCTCCAATCTTTCACAGTGGTTCGACTTGCGGGAAGGTGGGGACTGTCTACTTTCGACCCAGAACGTCTTGGACAAGGCCACAACGACAGAATTTGAACACTGGGCAATACTCCTCTAGTTCTTATCTATAGAACGCAACGCCCATCTGTTTAATGGAGTGAAATCACCGAAAGAGAAAATTGTGATGAGAGCGGCTACTTTCGTGGACGAGTACCGACAATACTAGGCGAATGTGACGTCGCCCCCAACCCAGGAAGTGTCACAGCGATGGATGAGGTCGGCGGTTGGACGAATCAAAGTTAATACAGACTATGATATTGATGCAGAAGGAATGGGGCTTGTTCTGATGATAAGAGATGTCGAGGGTCGATTTATAGTGGCTGCAGCTAAATGAACGCGAGGAGGAAATAAACCGGAGCTGGGAGAGGCCTTAGTAACGGAAATGGGTCTACAGATTGTTGCCCAACACTAGCTTGGAGTGCCTACTCTCGAGGTGGACTGCATGAATCTTGTCAAGAGTATTAATGTAGCGCATGAACTCCATACCGAGGTTAGCGTGGTGTGCAGGAAGATAAAGAAACTCATGTTGGAGGTAGGAGGTGGTGATTGGCAGTATGCTAGCCGGAAGGGAAATGAAGCAACACATGTCATGGCTCATACGAGAACTAGATGGGACGAAGCAGTAGTCTAGTTTGACAGACCACCCGTTTTTCAGCTTAATCAGCTAAATTCGGATGATGTAACAGTTTCGAATGATTAATAAAGCTACGTGCTGATTTCTATAAAAAAAAATCCTCCATGTCCCGTTTACAAGCAACCCCCCCCCCCACTCTCTCTCTCTCTCTCTCTCTCTTTCTTTCTTTCTTTCTTTCTTGTGTCTCTCCCTGTTATGTTTCTGTCGTCTTCTTCTTCTTTCTTCTCTCTCTATCTCCCAATCCTTCTCTATTGCAACTGCAAGAGAGCTAATTCATTAATGGAGCGCAAATTTGGAAGAAGATGGAGCACATAATTGGGAAGGTAATACATTGATTATTTGGGTTGGAGAGAATCTAGAAATGTAGGATTTGTTTTTTAGTTTGGACCAAGTTGTAATGTTGGGATAAGGATCAGGGCGTGGATGGTGGGGATTTTTAATCAATGCTCGCTTTGTTTAAGTTGTATATCGGATCAAGATCCGCTATGTTCTAGCACAAATTGGATTTATCCGCCCCAACACGAATTAGATTGGGAAACATCCATAAGACCAAGTCTCAATGGTCATCCCTACTTTTCCGTTTCATCTTGCAGTTGGATTTTACAAAGAAACCGCTTATATTGTACTTTGATAGAAACCATCACACAAATATGGAACCTATTATCAAATCCAGATTCCCTGGTGACAAGAATACTGAAGGTGAAGCATTATCCTAACACCGACATTTTGCAAGCCAAAATCGGGGACAATCCTAGCTACACATGACAAAGCATACAAGTAGTACATAAACTAGTGAATGAGGGGGTACGATGGAGGATTGACAATGGTTTAAGTGTAGAATTTATAAAGCTTATTCTTAAGGCTCATGTATTATAGATAATCATTGTGATTGTAAGTCTCAATGGTCATCCCTACTTTTCCGTTTCATCTGCAGTTGGATTTTACAAAGAAACCGCTTATATTGTACTTTGATAGAAACCATCACACAAATATGGAACCTATTATCAAATCCAGATTCCCTGGTGACAAGAATTCTGAAGGTGAAGCATTATCCTAACACAAACCTTTTGCAAGCCAAAATCGAGGACAATCCTAGCTACACATGACAAAGCATACAAGTAGTACATAAACTAGTGAATGAGGGGGTACGATGGAGGATTGACAATGGTTTAAGTGTAGAATTTATAAAGCTTATTCTTAAGGCTCATGTATTATAGATAATCATTTTGATTGTAAGTTTGTCTAGCGAATGTCTATATTTTTATACAAAAACATATGTTACTTGCTTCATGTATATTATTTCTAACTATTTTCGTTATTACTATACTGTTTTTAAATATACTAAACACGGCTAAATCTTCAGTAGTGTAGTGTAGCGGTGATATTGGTACTACTACCTAAACAGATTAGCTTGTCCTATAAACAAACAACATGTCTTAGAATAGGGACGAGTTGTTCTCAACAAATGAAGTTGATTGAACAGAACGATAGGGGTGATCGATCATGGAGCATCAGAGTCTGCCAATCAAACATAACTCTGTACATTTTTTGTGCTTACCAACAACTAATTTCGAACAATCCTTCTAGTGGAGGATTATTATTGTGGAGCACTTTCCACCTCTTCAATAACACCTGCAAAGGAGCTCCTTTGGACCAATTATAGAACCAGGAAAGGGCAATGACCAATGAATTCCAGAATACAGACTTATGGTATGGCTTATATTCACAGCAGTCAGATCATATTGTTCTGGCGGGAAACCACTCCGTTATACGCGGACAGCATCACGAGAACAAAGGAAGCTCTCTAGCGATGTCTCAGAACAAACAAACTCATCACTTGGCTTGTATCGATATCTCAGACCAACAAAATGGTCACTTGCGATGTGATGGGTTTCAGGGTTTAAATCCAACAATGATTTGGCTGGTTAACAATTACCGGGGACTCAGAGACAACTTAACCAGTTCATTTAGAAGCTGAAACAGGATTCTCATGGGAAGATCACATAAACAGAGGTATCAAACTTATTACTGTACCACTTACAAAGAAAGAATGCTTCATCTGCATCACCCTAATGCAGCAAGACAGACAGTGCGATTGAGGTCAACAAAATCACCATCAACTTTCCCAGTCTACTTCCTGCAACTTATTCTCCCAATATACTGCCGATATGTTCAGTATGCACACCTGAAGTGTGGCACAGTGCTAGGGGAGGGAGCATTTGATCATTGTTCTTATCAATCCTACGCCAAAACACACTAATAAGTTCCAAGGATAAGATATCGCAGTTGTGTCGCCTCACTACATCCAGCTGAGACACTCATGAAATTCTACTGCTCCACCCAACTAAACTAAGCTAGCTTCCCAATTAACAGTGCTAACTCGCTGACTACTATCCACCCACCCCAAAGTGGATTGAAACCATGAAAATGAAAGTGAATGATCAGGTAACAGCAGTTTCACTGAATAACAACTCCTTATTGACTAGAGCTCTGAGAATCACCATAAGACACACTAGAAACAAACGAGGACACTTGAATCTTGACAAACACATTTCTCAGCTAGGGTTCAAACAACACTTGCACACATCTTACAACCATCTCCTGAAACCGATCAGAGAGATATCATCGCCAATATGCCAATGAACCCAAACACCATAAGAGACAAAGCAAGCGTCCCCCAATTTAAAATTAGCAACACCTTACATATATATACAATACAAGATACATTATAAAGCGAGCAACCCAAGTTCACACCACTCACATACCAACGATCACACAAGATAATACCTTTCTTCCTTGACGGCGCCCTCAGGACTCAATACTCGTGACGGTAGTCCCGATAACCAGCGAAACTCTCCCTGTCCGGAGCTTTCTCCCTCTCGTAGTTGCTCCCGGATTCTTCAAGATTCAGCCCACCCATACTGCTGCTGAGCTCTGTAGCGCCTCCTTTCACACCCCCATATTGGGATGAATAGTCCATAGGAGCTGAAGGTCCGCTGGGTCCTCCATACACAGATGTCTTCGACAATGACACTGATGGCTGAGGCATCACCTTGTGATCATAAGGCTGCAGTGGCGGTGGTGGTGCCGATATGTCAACCGGAGCAGAAGGCCCGCTCTGCAGGTTGTAGCTGGAAGCCCGATTGTACAAAGGTCGAGATGGCAGAGGCGGCTGCGGAGGGTAATAGGCCGAGTAGTAGCCATACTGGTCTGGATAATTGTACGGAGCTGGAGAGAACTCCCTGTAATCCCGACTTGTCATAGGGGCTGGAGGCGGCGGAGGGGCGGCGGCGTAATAATGGGAATAGTTAGGGGCACTATGGTAATCTGGAATTTGGTGAGATACCTGCTGCGGCGGAGGGGGAGCAGGCATGGGCGGAGGTGGGGGCATGGGGCGTTCTCTCAAGGCCAGCTTCAGGCGAACCTTACCGTGGGGACGGCCGGAGGGACGGAGTAGCTCGAAAGATCGGATTGCGGCCGGAGACTCGTCGGAGTCGAGAATCTGCGAGAGAGGGATCTTCACGGCGCCCACGAGAGGCTTGGGGGTTTCCGATGGCCTGGAGTGCAAGATCTCCAGGGTGAGGACCGAATCGGCGATCATTCGGGTCACCGGGAGCGTGAATCGCTCGTTCCATACGGGACGAGTGGAGCCGGAGTCGTCGGCGTGAGTGGCGAGCCTGTGATCGGAGTTGTCCAGGTAGATGGTCGCGTAGGGTTTCAGATCTCCGTTTCTCCAGTTGACGTTCTTCAGGTGCTTCGCTGAGACTATGGTGATCTCGAGGTCGAACGGATTGTGGCTGTGAGACGCCATGGTTTCCAGTCACCTTCAGCGTCGCCGGCGGTTGCTAATGTGCGCAGGTGGGGTGTAGATTGTAGAATTTTCTTCACGGAGGAGAAGGTTTGTTTTGGGAGAAGAAATCGCATTTCTGGACTCCACTCAGCTAAGCTAACTAGTCGGGTTAAATTTGGATAAGAATTCATTCATGTGGGCCCTGGCCCTGAGCCCTGTTATGTAATTCAAAAGCCCAGTTGAAACGACCCCGTATCATCGAGGCAGCCATGCGACGCCGTTTCTTATCTTTCAAAAGGCTTTCCTCTGTGGATATACCGTGGATAAGCTGCCTCGCAGTCGCAGCCATAGCTAGAGACTGGTATAGAATTTGCTCTCCTCTGCCTCCAATCTCTTCCCCCGCCGTTGTCTCCGAGAGCTGAAAGCAAATGGCTGCCACCGCGACGAAGCCGCCGACGGTTGCTCTATCCTTCTTCTCCTCCTCGCTCTTTGCCTCCTCTTCCAGGCATGAGATCCCGAAGCTCATTTCGGTCTCTAATCGAAACTCGAATTCTACTGCCTCCAAATCAGCCGCCAAGCCTCTCTCCATCTCCTGCCAAGTCGCAACAATCCCGATTCTGTCATTCACCGGGGAGAAGATCGGAGAGACGTTCTTGGACCTGAAGTCCGCCCCGCCGGAGACGGCCCGCGCAGTCGTCCACCGCGGAATAATTACCGACCTCCGGAACAAGCGAAGAGGGACGGCCTCGACGCTGACCCGGGCCGAGGTCAGAGGCGGCGGGAGGAAGCCGTACCCGCAGAAGAAAACGGGCGGGGCGCGTCGGGGATCCCAGAGGACTCCGCTCCGCCCGGGAGGAGGGGTTGTGTTCGGGCCGAAGCCCAAGGACTGGTCAATCAAGATAAACAAGAAGGAGAAGAAACTGGCGATGTCGACGGCGCTGTCGAGCGCGACGGAGAGCATGATTTGCGTGGAGGAGTTCGGGGAGAAGTTTGAGAAGCCGAGGACCAAAGATTTCATCGAGGCGATGGCGCGGTGGGGGCTGGACCCGAAGGAGAAGGTGATGTTCCTAATGATGGATGTGAGCGACACTGTTGGGCTGTCGAGCAGGAACATCGGCACGCTGCGGATGCTGACGCCGAGGACCCTCAATCTGTTCGACATTTTGAACTCGGATAAGCTGGTGCTGACGCCCGACACCGTGGATTTCTTGAACGGGAGGTATGGAGCGGAGTACAGCGAGGAGGGAGATGATGAAGACGAGGAAGGCGGAGAGGTTGAGGAACAAGAAGGCGGCATTGAAGGTTAGTTTCTTCGATTCCGAAACGTACAAGGATTTGGCTACTTTTGTTTGTTTGGTGTAATGTAATGCAAGGTTGTCTCATGTTCTGCGATTTTGGGATGCAGGGGTTGAGGTTGTAGCTGCAGAAGGAAATGCTGATGCTACAAGTTAGGTTTTGGTAATGGTATGATATCACCATACATAACTGTTGTTGAATCCTCCATGTACCAGTTTTCTCCATTCTAAGCAACAATGTGCACTCAATCTGTTGTTTGTTTTCCCGAGAGAAATGCGGCTAATTATGTAGTCTATAAAATGGTTTGATTTTGATCTCGGCGCCCAGTTCTGTTCGCTTCGATGATGGTAGTCAATCTGTTTCCCAGCTCTTCCGGAAATGTTATATTGGTTCTGCATTGCAAATAGCATCTTCTAGTTCTGGGCTCTCGACTCAACAACTAGCAGAGTGGTGACTGTAAGGGGGATGTATGTCTACTTGTAGGAAGAGTAGCTGGGTTCTGGAAGAACTTGTTAGGTAATGTCGGAGCGAACGAATTCATCCATCTCTGAGGAGCAACAAGTCCATTTTGTGAGAATCCTGACGTAATTCAGCCACAGCCCACAAGGGATTGAGGACAACATTTTGATTCAGTCATTTCTGTTATTTTTACCTGTATCATTTTCCATTTTTGTGAAAGATTTGCAAGCACATGTACGCGAAGGGAAGTGTGAGCAGGAAGACCTTAATCAGAAAATCAGTCTCTGGATCATATAACATCTATTGGTTTAAGTTCGAACTCATGAAGTAGCCAGCTTTAGAACGTTTCTTTGCCGAATTTACTCATGTACTGGAGGTGGTAGCAACGAACCAAATGCAGGGAAAGACCAGGAATCAGAATGACTGAATTATTCACCAGCTCTGTCATGATCCGAAGTCCATAGGGATTGGAACATGAAGCTGAAATTAGATTATGTACAAGCTACATACTTGTTTCCCATCAGGAATAAGTTTGATTCTCATGTGTACAAGTACAAGCTTGTTAGAAGGAGCAAGGTTGTCACCTATTTCTGTTTCAGGAAGAATTATCTTTCAAAGTACTTTAGCTGCATATTGGTCATGACTTGTGAACTATGACAACCTGCAGCAGTATGCATTACGATTGATTTCTCGCAACAGATCGATAATATCCCACCACCCAGAAAATGGTCGATTTAAGTAAACATGGATTGGCAAAATGGCAGAATTATAAAGACTGGCAATGGCATGCTGCTGTTACTTCACAGCCATCCAATCCAAGTGATAAACAGAGGCCACACCTGCAGGAAGCTGCTTTCCCTGTGCAAGAACATAAGAAAGCAAAAAAGAAAATGCACGCTCCCTACGCAGGCATTATCCTGTTCAGGTTCGAAGGGACTTTCTCAGCCTGACCTGCCCCCGCGGCCAGTGGCCAAAGGCAGATACAGGCACCCCTGGTGCGTTTCTTTCATCAACATTGTGACGAGAGAAGGAAAAAAAAACATAGAATAGCCGAATGCAAAAGATAGATAGCATCCATGGAACACTTTTATTGATGTCACACAAGAGAAGCAGAAGCAAAAGATAAAGTCTCCAAATCCAAACTATCACACTTGACTCGGACGTCAACTTACCCACATCGCGAAATAGAAAGGCAGCCTGGGGTTATTCTTCCTGAATAGCTAGCTTCCCAGGATTCCTGAGCTTTGTTCAATAGCCAACCAGCTGCAGTCTCACAAGTTCCTGACAATGGAATTCCAGATGACAAACAGTTAAGTTTTGCATCAGACAAGGATCCAAGGGATGTCACAAAGTTACATATAGCTTGCTTGAGCAAGTTATGTTTGTCCATTTCTGTTAGAAGACTAACCTCTTTACCTATCAGTGGAGCTGACATGGCTCGCCGGTATGTAGATTTCTCCACCAACTTCACCGTGCTGTTCACCACTGTTGGTTTTCTTAGCAGCCAGGAATTCAGCGCTCATAGCAGCCATACCTTGCTGCACAGCTTCCTCTGCACTACCATAACCATGCTCCTCAGCATACTTGCGCACATCCTCTGTTATCTTCATGGAGCAGAATTTGGGGCCACACATGGAGCAAAAGTGTGCAACTTTGGCCCCGTCTGATGGTAAGGTTTCATCATGGAAGGACATGGCAGTCATGGGGTCCAAAGACAAAGCGAACTGGTCCATCCATCTGAACTCGAATCTGGCCTTGCTTAGTGCATCATCCCAGTCTTGAGCATGAGGATGGCCTTTAGCCAAATCAGCTGCATGTGCAGCTATTTTGTATGCAATAACCCCAGTCTTTACATCATCTCTATTCGGCAGGCCAAGGTGCTCCTTTGGCGTGACGTAACACAGAAGTGCAGTTCCAAGAGCTCCAATATTGGCAGCACCAATGGCAGAGGTGATGTGATCATATCCAGGAGCAATGTCGGTTGTTAGTGGACCAAGAGTGTAAAAGGGTGCTTCATTGCACCATTCCAGCTGCTTTTGCATGTTCTCCGGGATCTTGTGAATTGGTATATGTCCTGGTCCTTCATTCATCACCTGAAACAAAGAGCAACAAAAGCTTGTTAGCAGACAATCTCGAAACAAAGAAAGAACGTAACTTCCCTGAATGACCTGGTTATCTGTTTGCAATAGCTTATTCTATGCCAGGGCAAACGAAAAGGTTTAGCTTTCAAGCCACTGTTGGCCTCATATGCTAACTACACTAAAAAATACCATGGTCACTATTCTCCAAGTCCTCGGTCAATGTACAGAGAGCATCAAATATTATGACTTCGGCATATTACCTGAACATCCTTTTTCCAGGCTCTACGGGTCAGTTCACCCTGTGTTAAGAGCTCTGCAAATTGAGCAGTGTCATTGGCATCATATATGGACCCAGGTCTAAGTCCATCACCAATAGACAAAGATACATCATACTGATTGCAGATATCTAGTATGTCATCCCAGTGTTCATACGCGAAGTTTTCCTGGTGATGAGCTAGGCACCACTTTGCATGAATCGATCCTCCACGAGAAACTATTCCAGTCATGCGCTTTGCTGTTAGAGGCACGTACCGCAGGAGCACCCCAGCATGGATAGTGAAGTAGTCCACACCCTGCTCAGCTTGTTCAATCAGAGTGTCACGGAAGACCTCCCAGGTAAGGTCTTCAGCGATCCCATTAACCTTTTCAAGAGCCTGATAGATGGGAACAGTACCAACTGGAACAGCTGAGTTGCGCAGAACCCATTCCCGGGTCTCATGAATATGGCGGCCAGTGGAAAGATCCATGACAGTGTCAGCACCCCACATAGTAGCCCACTGAACCTTGTAAACTTCTTCCTCAATAGAGCTCGCAACAGCTGAGTTTCCAATGTTGGCATTAACTTTGACCAAGAAATTCCTTCCAACAATCATGGGCTCAAGCTCAAGGTGCCTTTTATTGGAAGGGATGATTGCTCTTCCTCGAGCGACCTCAGACCTCACAAACTCTGGGTCGAGCTTTTCGCGAGTAGCACAGTACAACATTTCCTCAGTGATAATGCCCTGCTTGGCATAGTACATCTGCGTGTACCTAGGACCACCAAGCTTCTCCCTCCTGTCAATCCATTCTTGCCTGAGCTTAGGAAGTCCTGTTTCAATCAAGTCGTAAATAATAAACAAGTGCATAAGATTTCCAAGCCCTTCCATGTAGAAGATGGGTCTTAAAACCAGACTTGAGCTTCATACCTAGACGTGGGTCGATATTCTGTGGACCACTGGTGTCATAGTTATCAAAACTGGGTTCATCCCCGGACAAGTGGACTCGGCGGAAAGGAACTTTGAGGACATGGCCAGATTGTTCGTGTGTAACTTCCCTGTAAGGAAAAAAAGTCAAGAAACGTACAAAAACATTTGTGACCCATTACACCTCCCCACAGAAAAACACAGCAATAATTGAATATTTGATTGAAAAGAAATCAGGAAGGGAAGCTAAAAGCTTCAGATTATAATTGCAAATCAGTAACCTGTGTTCTTTAGTGCTCTTGGGAAAACACTGTTCAAAGGATGGAAGGGGAACGAAATCTGGAGAGGCAGGGTCGATGGTATGCTTCCTCTGTCTTACTTTCTCGGCATCTGCCGTCGGTGGATCAAACGTTAAGGTCGCTCTAGCACCATAGGACAGTGAACGTGAGGGAGAATTCTCCTTCCTACTCAGACCGGAGACGCCTCGGCCAAAAACATCGAACCCCGGCAGGAAGGCAGCTGTGGAGAACTTGGCCGGAGCAGAATTGTAATTGTTGCCATTCTTGCATACAGCAGCTGATGTGAGAGCAGCAATAGCTTGCACTGACGCCATCTGGAAAGGACATATACAACATAATTCAAAATCGTTTTCCGAGCAGTTAAGCGATCAAATATAATAATTCTCTGATTGCGATTCTCGCGTTCTGTATGGCAAGCGAGAAAGCGTAACAGTTAAACGAGCAGCAGACAGTAGCAGTACGAAAGATGGATAGAGGTGAACCGTCTCATCATCAACCGTCCACTTCCCGGAGATAATTTCTCGAGAACGGATCAAGTGTATCACAATTCGCGAGCAAAATTCAAATGAGATAAAGAAGATTGGGCATGAAATTGTCTACAGATCATCGCCGCACAAATTTGCAAAGGAGATCGGACGTTAAGCTTACCAGAGAGAGGTGGGCAGCGGCGGAGTGAGGAAGAACGGAGGAGGAGAGGAGAAAGGAATGCAGAAAGAGAGGGAGCGGCTGAGGTCGGAAGGGAGACCGGGATGAAGTGATGAACTTATCTCTTCGAACTGAGTGAGCCAGCGAGCGTAATAATGCTCGCACTAACGCACAGTAGTCACAAATCACAATCTACGTCGTCACTTTTCCCTTCACTTGTCGTTTCTGTAGGAGAAATAAATAAAAATAAACGAAAACAATAATAGAGAAGGGAAAGTGCTGATGATGACATGGCTGTTGCCTTTGGTGTGTGTTGTGACTAATATCTGTGTGGTATATTATCCAAAATTGAATCTCTCCTAACCACTCGAGTTATTGGAGCAATTGGTTTATGACATGGTATCAGAGTCTTCTATGACCGAGAGGTCTTGTGTTCGATTCCGGGTGACCTCATTTGTTAAGCACATGGTATTCAAACCTGTGCAAACTTCAAGCCCTTGTGAGTGACTTTCGTTTGAGAGGGCGTGTTAGTTTGTGGTATATGATCCAAGATTGAACCTCTCCCAACAACTCGAGTTATTGGGAGCAACTGGTTTATGACAGATATTTGGTAAACACTAATTATTAGTCAACTGTTTATTGTATTTTTTAATTAGTCAAACTTAATGAACTACAAATAATTAGTTAAATTGTTTTAAAATATATCAAAATATTAGTCATTTTACATTATTGTTAATAATTTTGTAACTCTTTTCTTAGTTAAAATATTAAAAATTTGGAATGTTGACCTCCATGTGTCTCTTCCAAGTCAGTATCATATTTCCAAGTCAATATTACTAATAAAATTGTCAAGTGAAAGTTAACATTTGGCTATTTATTAGAAATTCAATAGGCTTGGCTAATAAAAAAGAATGCGAGAAAGATTTGGCTAATAATTAGTGTTTACACAAAATATTTCCATTAATAATGTGTATCTTGTCAGTGTAGCTAGAATGGGCGAACCAACCGGCTCCAGCCCCTTCTGTTATGTCCGTGAGACTCAACTCTGTAATTAATTAGTGGTGGGCACGAGGAGGGGGATCGTGGATTGTGTACTTGCCTATTTGGACGGGGCACAGTGTCCTATTGCCGGGGGTTGTATCCGAGGTGTGGAGGTTACTAAAGTGCGGATAAGTGTAATGGTCATGTCTCCCAATTCCCCTTCTAGTTGTGTCTACTGGCTCAATGTCACCAGAAGCAGCTTCCTCGACTAGCGATATACCTAACTTCCTTTAAATGGGTTCTACCCATCCGCACACTAGCCGGATGAGTCAATAATCATGCACTCACCTAACTAACATCAACTAGGTGAGCTCCTAATTAGAGGGAGATGATCACCTCTTCCTTTAATTATGCCTCTAGATCATCTAATCAAGGTAAAATACATTCAACATACATGGGCTAATTCATTCAACATACCATATCATGGATCAAACCACACTAGAAGTATTAAGAACACTAGTTGAACACAAAATATGTTATAGATATCATTCAATCAACAAAACCTAGCTATATACTAGAATTCATCTTCCTTAAACAATGTTAGGTGTTCAATTCATAGAGAGGGAAAGGACATACAAACTAGAGAGGACAATCTTGAAATCACCTTTTTTTTCTTTGTTTTGAACCCTTCTCCTTGATTCTTGGATGAAGTCCTCATTCCTTAGCTCTTCCAAGGCATTTCTCTCACTAGAATCTGCCCAAAATCCTAATTTCTCATTCTAGGTTGGCTCTCATTCGTCAATTCCAACAAATGGGTTTTTATAGAGGTTTCTCGTGCACAACGTGGCCTCCGGGCGTGACACGAGGGGTGGTCACAACCTCCAGGTCGTGACACTTGTCAAAACGACACATTTCAGCATGTCACGGCTTATGTCACGGTCGTGACCTAAGGCGTGACATGTAAAACATCAACGAATTGTCAAAATCTCTGTGTCTTGTATTCATTCACGAGCACCGAGATTGTGACCTTGATCTTGAGAAAAATGAAAAAGTTATCTAGACACTTTGTAATTGAAAAGTTATCGAGTAAGAAAAATGAAAACGAACACAATTAGACATGTGACATTGCTAAATGACTTTTTAACTTAGCAGTTTTGATAATTTAGCAAGCATCCACACATCCTTAGCAGTTGCTAAAAACTTGCCACAAAAGTTCCACCTCACTTTAGCAATCGCTAAAAATTAGGGATGGAGATGCTCTTTACGAGAGATTGAGATTTTGTCAGCACAACTTTTTTAAATTTGAGATCTCTAACATAACTATAATAATTGTAGAACTAAGAACTAAGAAGTCAAGTTTCATTCAGATTAATCACTAAATTCATTACACTATAGGGAATTTGTTGTTATAAAGCTATAAAAATATGTAAATTACATATTATTCATTTTAATTTTAAGTTAACTAATAAAAATTAAATTAAATTAATTTAAAAAATCTGCAAGCCACTCCATATCTCCTTAATAAAACGCAACGTTCCCCTTATCCCTTTTAATTTCACTTTTTTTTTTATGGACAAAAATAAAAAATCCCTACCTACTTATACTAAAAAAATTTTGTTCATTCCCTTACTCATTTTGATTCATATTTTTCTTCTTTCCCATTTTTTCCCAATCTTACTTACCAATTTTAACTGATGGGTGAATTTAGTAGATTTGCGGTAGATTATGTTTCGATTTTGGCTAATTTTGGGAGAAGTACAACAAAGTTGCTTATGGTATGATTTTGGACATAATTGGTTTGTTCTTTGGTTTACGTTCTTTGATCCATATTATGGATCGATATTGGTCTAGTGGTTCTGGACTGAACCTAACTTGTACTACAATGAAAGAAATTATATTGCTATGCTAAAAAACTGCCGTAATTAGCACGATGACAACATGCATATATAAGTTGAGAGGCGTATCAGCAACATGCCATACAGTTCACTTGCATTCGGCAGGATTGTTATGTATTGCCCAACAAAACCTTCACCGGAAGTATATTGTTAGCCGGAAAGTTGGCGGATTCGAGTCTTCCTTTCCACTTGGTAAAATCCTAGAGAAAAGTGGTCGCCGTGGATAAGAACGGGAAGCATCCAAAGCCGCAGCCGCCCACCCAACCCAACACTCAAAACAGTGGGTGAGGGACCGGACTTGAGCACTCATTCCCAGAGGCAGAGCAGAGCAGAGCCCCACAGCAGCATTCAGTGCAGTGGTTTTGAAGAAAGCGACGTTGATATTATTATGATTTGATTTCTCTCCACTCCCTCTCTTTTTTTGGCTGGATCGATGTTTCTACTTTAGCTGCCCTCATTTTCCGCCAAAAATATCGCTTGCATTTGCATACTGTTGCTAAAGCACCAATCCTCTGCTCAAATAACCCCAATAAGCAGCAAAGCAATTCCTCTTCTCCGCAGGCCGTTTGGAATGTTTGCTGTGCATCCGCAGGCCGTTGGATGAACATAGCATAGCGACAATTAATTTACCCAGTACATCCCACTATAACAGAGCGCAAAACAGGCATGTACATAATCGCGAAGGGAATAGAGTCGCGGACTGGCTCTCGAAGCACAGTCTCGTCTATCCCTTCGATATGTACGAATTAATCGAGCCTCCAACGGGTTTAGATCGGATCCTTTGGAAAGATATGATAGGTAGTAGCCTCCCGAGGATGGTAGCCTCTGGATAGCTAGTTTCTTTTTTCTGATGCCTGTTGCCAGTTCTACCTAGGGCCTGCGTGTGTGCAGTGCTACCTGTGGCTGAATTTGTTTTGCTGTATCTGAGTTCCCCTGGCTTGTAGCCTCCCTCTAATAAAAAAAAAAAAAAAAAACAAGCAACTCAATGACCTAACAAATAGCACCACCACAAAATTTCAACGCCAACCCCTAGCATTTGCATCGACCTGAGTAACATTAGATTATATCAAGTGCAGAGAAGCATCCCTTTTTGTTTAGACCTGTAATGTAAACCGACCAAGAAAATAATTCGTCTTATTTACAAACAAAATATCGCTTAGTGTACATGCTATAAGATTTTTTTCTCAGACGAGTAATAATCATGTATACAGATGAATACACGAGTTTGCAATGCCTCAACAGATAAATGAGGACTCGAAAGGCTGCAACGTAATGTACTCTGACTAAACGAAACACCCCGGCCAACCCACTGACTTGCTAGGCTAAATGAACATGGTGTTCATAACATTATGGCCGCAACACTCACCAGTGAATGTGCGTGTAGCTGGATTCTTCTTCCTTTCTGGCTTGGGCCAAGTATATGTTAAAAAGACTGAGAGCCAAAACTCCAGTGCAGTTTGAACGAATGTATACAAATTTTAGGGTGGCTTCAGGCTGATCTCTGTACCTGCCCCATCGTCGTGTTGGCATCAATTTTACAAGCTAGGGTCAATGATTTCTAACCCCATTCCATCGCTGTGTTGCCAATCTTAAGTCTGTCATGAACCTGCCGCCTGTGCAGGGAGAGGTAGAGGGAGCGGGAGGAAAGATGCTTGCTGCTGGCCTCGGACAAAAGAAGCTAGCTCCTCTGGAGCAACTACCAATTTCAGCCACTCTTGCAGCTCTTCTCCTTCTACTTTCTCTTTCTCTGGATATGGTGCGCACCCAGTTAGAGCTCCTTGACTAGTTATAGATCTATTGGGTCAACAAAAGAAAAGGAGTAAGCCAATTACCTTCAAGATGAGCACCAAGTCCTTCCAAGACAGTAGGATTAGCACGAACGACACAGAGTGCCACTTCCATTGCAGATTGTAGCATTTCCTTCACCTCCCTTTGAACTAGATCAACAAGATGGCCCTGTTTTGTAGTGTACCCCATTAACAGCAGTATACAAGGTTGGTAGGGGCAGATAGAGTTTGACATTGCGTAAATAAGAGCATGCCAAAACAATGATTACCTGTTCCCTTCCCCATGGACTACCTCCAGACTCATCCATCCCACCTCCAGAAAGTGTTCCAACAGATACAGGACCTATGGTCCGACTGAGACCATATTCCGCTATTGCCTTGTACGCCATGTCTGTAGCTCGTCTAATATCATCTAGTGCACCGGTGGACACACGGCCTGAGTACACCACGTCTTCTGCTGCACGCCCTCCAAGAAGGGTGACCAAACGGCCCCGTAACTCATCGATGAAAAGTAAATATCTGTCCTCAGTTGTTGGTGGTGTATAAGTAAACCCCAATGCACCTCCCGTCCTTGGTAGTATGCTTAGCTTCTGCCAATATGACATCATTAAACTGTTATATATCCTGGCAGGTACACACACTCATCCCACATGACAAACGGAACCCTTCAGCAAGTTCCTTTTGGCTTAAGAAATGATGATGATCTTTACCTCCACACGTGGTTGTCCAGGGAGGAGGCTAGCAACAGCAGTGCCAACTACTGCATGACCTGCTTCATGGCGTGCAACGACAGCCCTCTCACTTCCTTGCAGTTTGGCCGTCTTCTTCTCTATGCCCTACAACAACGGGGAGTTAATTTCAATTAACTTTTTCTTCTTACAGGTCATTACCATTCTGCACAATGTCTTCTGCCAAACATGGTACAAGTACAATAAGTAGGCATATAAAATCAGACGCATGAAAATCTTCATGAATTCTAGGAGCAACAAATACTCAGAATTCCTCCTACTGGACCTCAATGTACAGATTCAAAGGTTATTCATTTCATGTAAAGACCTTTCACAATCAGCAAGTACAACCAATTAAAAAATGGAAATTTAGCTTCCATTAAATCAACCATAAGCTCCATTGATGCCAATTGTCCCTCGAACTCAAAGCATACCCGATGATATTAGACGAGCTAGTGTGTGTGTGTGTGTGTGAGTGAGTAAGAGAGAGAGAGAGAGAGAGAGAGAGAGAGAGAGAGAGAGAGAGCTTACAGCTAAAGACCGTTCTACGGCTTGAATGAAATCAATTTTCTCTACCAAGGTTTTGCTTTTCCTTCCAGCCAATAGAGCAGCTTCATTTACAAGATTTGCAAGATCAGCCCTGCATGACGTGGAAACTAGAAGGTTACCTCCACATCCAGCCTATGACAAGACAGCAAATGTACCCCAGCATTCACACATACCCAGTAAAGCCAGTGGTCATTGAAGCGATACCACTAAGGTCGACATCCTTTCCTAAAGGAAGCTCCTTCTTTAAGGCATGCACTTTCAAAATGGCCTCTCTTCCTTTCCTGTCAGGGGCTTCCACCTGAGATCAAATTGCAAAAATTACTCAAGACACTCAACTGAGTTGAAACAGCTAATGCACAGGGCCAGAGGTCTCAAAATTTTAAGAGGATTAATCTGGAACGAACCGTAACTACACGATCAAATCTTCCGGGTCTCCGAAGAGCAGGATCTAAAACATCAGCGCGATTTGTTGCTCCGAGAACTATTACTGCAGAGTTGCTATCAAATCCATCCATCTCCTGCAACATATGAAAGTGGCTTACAAAATGAAGAACGTGACATTCTAAGACTTCCCATAGATCTTTAAGAAGGAATATGACTGGATGGATGGGGGACTTACAGTAAGCAACTGGTTCAAAGTTTGCTCCCGCTCATCATTGCTAACAATGCGAAACTTCCCATCACGACTTTTCGCCACCGCATCTATCTGCATTTAAGAGAGTATGAGACTGATGTTCAAAGCCGTCAGCACAGCATCCATATCCAACAAAGACAATCAAGTGCAGCTTACCTCATCAATAAATATAATTGATGGTGCCTCCTTCTTTGCTCGTGCAAACAGGTCTCTTACACGTGAAGCACCCATTCCGACATATAACTCTACAAACTCACTAGCTGAGCAACTAATGAAAGGGACATCAGCTTCCCCGGCAACAGCCTTTGCCAAAAGGGTCTTGCCTGTACCAGGAAGACCAACCTGGAAGACAAACAACCTCATATAAACTAGAAGTAACTTAAGATTTTTAGTAAAGAAGAGGACTAAGTCACAGAGAACAAAGTGCAGGATGGAGCCTATGGTACTGGATACACATACATATGTAACATTAGAGAAAAATGAGGATGCAGCACCGATGTACAGGACAACACACTAAAAGACCTACCCAAATGGAAGGTTATACAGAAGTTGTTCCACCAAAATACATTAAAAATAAATTTGCATACTCACCAGAAGAACACCCCGAGGAGGACGAGCACCAAGTTTTATGTACCTGTCTGGGTTCCTGAGAAATTCCTGGACAACAAGCATCAGTACATAAGACCATTTCCCGGCAAAAAGAATTTAGAGGGTGGTCAAAGGGAAGAGGATGCAAATAGAAATCATAAGCAAAGCAGTAAATATGATACCACTATTTCTTCTAACTCTTCCTTAGCTTCATCAACGCCAGCAACATCAGCAAAAGTGATTGCATCTCCTTGCTCAGCAACTTTTGTACCTCCAGAACTACCAGACTTGCGGTTCCTAATCTGACCAGCCGAATGCTGCATAACAGAAATGTATCTATTTTGTCAGAACCAAGTTACATCCATCAAGTTTGACCTAGTCAAAAGAGTATTGTGATAGTCCAAACCTGAGAAAAGCTAACAGGGAATCTATGGAGAAGTCCAGCAAGCACAGCCACATAGAACAAAGCAATCTGCCATAGAAAGGGGAAAACAAACTTGTAAGACTCCACATTTGGAAAGCAGTCCCAAGCGAATTGATGCAAATAACAGCGAAATTGACACACTGAGTGTAGAAAGAAGCATGTGTTCACGCAATAAAAATCTTCATTTCCCTAGTTTAATTTCCATGCTTCCTGGTTAGGGAAAATATGACTTGCAGAAGCCTCAAAGAGGGAGATTGGCAGTTCACGGTAGGCTGCCAAAATGCAAAGGAGCAATCCCTCAACACCCTCTACGTAAGATAAGGGCAAAGCATTCAGAAACTATAGAACATGACTGGCATCCTGACCACATGGGTGTATGAGGGCTGTGATCTTTGAGAGCGTAGAATTGCTGTTTATACAAAAAACGCAAATTTGTAATTACCATCGCATTCTTTTTCCGTCGGCAAAACTGAAACGAACCTATGTTTCAGCATGAAGAACAGCCGCACATGCAATTACTTGCATTGCAAAGCATGACCACGTGAACAAATTTCAGCAAGCAATCCCGTTAAAGGATTATATTTGATAGTCACTTATTAAGCAGTACTACCCCGTGGTTTTTCTAAATAATAAAAGCTTGTCACAACTCACAGCCACAACCAAGCACTTACTCACCAAAGCTGAGTTGAAAAATCCACCAGACCTCTTATCAGGCGATCCAAACTCCACCTGGTTTTCAAGCATCTTCTCGTATGGAGTCTTGATATCACTGGGTCTAGTAGTCGTGTACACAATCCTCCTCGTGGTTGGCGCGACGCTCCTTAACAATTGCTCCGACTCCTGCCACCTACCATCAACCACTTCAGCTGTCTCCTGATTTCCGGCCGCCTCGTTTTTCAGTTTGAACATGATGTGGACGCCATCAACCTCCACTTTCTGCACCTTGTTGCTATTAATCTTGCTCACAAAATCACTGTACGGTACACTAACGAACGTCGTCGGCGGTCTTGGCTCCGACCCTGGCAGCGGAATCCCAGGCCGCAGCAACCGCATAACAAACATTACAATCCCTAATTGCAAAAGCAAGACCCCGACCTCCTGAGCTTGAATTAAAGGCTGCCATTTCCAATTCTGCCGCTTCGACCACCACCACCACTCACCTTTCCCTTGCTTCTCCCTCTTCTGCTTTGGACCCGTGTTGGGCGTGTTCGTGCTGCTAACCTGCTGCCCTTCGGTCTCCGCCCTTGGCTCGCTCGAGCTCGTCGTCGAATCCCCGTCCTGACATTTCGCCAATATTCTGTGCTCTCTCAACCTGCAACTCCTCCAAACCCCACTTCCCCATAGATTATTAGAACCTCGCAGAGCTCCGCAGGGCAGACGAGATTCATTGAGCACGTTCACGGGACGAGGGAACCGCAGCGGATCCCGGTGAGGAACCCTAGAATGGGCGCGGAACGGGAAAGAGCCGCGGCAGTGAGAAGGAGGAGGATAACGATATTTACAATCGGAGTCGGCGTGGAACCACCTGGAGTGCGAAACCGGCCTCAGGGTCTCAATCATCGACGACATGGTGTTAATCGAAACCCTAACATAACCAGAGAGAAACCAAATTGGGGAAGGAGAGGAACAGACTCGCAAATCGGAAGCGGAAGCGGATTAGCGCTTGGGCGGGGCTAATAAAAGAACGGTAAACGACGGTCGGTCTGTTTTCTGTGGATGGGAGAAAATTTTAGAAGGGAAGGTGACCGGAAGCGGAGGAAGAGAGGAGAGAGATTTTTTTTTTTTTTTTTTTGAAGAGGGAGAGAGAGATAATCTCCGTTGGATGGAGGAGAAGGGACGGTCGACGTAAGATCCAATGACCCTCAACTCTCTGTTTCGCGATGCAGGGGAAAATTCCTCGTCCTCGATGTCGTTGTTGTTCGTTATCTGCTGCAACTGCGAATGGGCGCGAGGTAAGAAGAGGAAATCATAGCGTGCGGGAGAGCACACACCAAGAGAACACGTGGGAACAAGAGATGGAGGACCACACAGGTGGAGGGATTTTCCGGACTAAATTGGGCCGGGTTTTTGGGGTGGGAGAGGTTTGTAGGAAGTCTAGGGCCCGATCTAGTAGGGTGCTAATTATGCCTAAATGGATAAGGATTTGATTAGCCAATCAGGAGTGCCTTTACTAGTTAATAAGGGAATCAAGTTGGAATTTACATCACTTGAACGACAGCAATCTTGTAAGGGGATTTGAGTCAAAGTATCTTCTATTTCCAAATGATATTCTGGTTAGTTTTTGTTTTTTTCCTTTCTTTTCCTTTGCTTAATTTAGTTTTATTAGCCAGCAATAAAACCGTGATAGATTGATTAAATAGTACTTCGAAGTATATTAGTAACGGTAAGATAGTCTAACGGTAAGCTGCCACGACAGTGAAGTTTTGGCAGTTGCAGATCTTAGGTTCGAATTCAAGTGAAGATCATTGGTGTTTCTGGAGCTATAAAGCTGTTGTGGGCGAAACCCCCGTTGGCGTCGAATTGAACGCAGGAAGTCTATTACTAGTAGGAGCGAACCCATCTGTCGGAGACACATGTTTTGATGATAAAAAGAAATTCGAATATGAGACCTTTGACTTTTCGACACAGTTCTGAGTGCAAAATCGATGATGTCGTGCTCAGAAGGAGTTCAAATTGGACTAGGAGACTCCTGGAAACATCTAAAAGCTTCCCGTTGACTTTCGGGCGAATCCAAGTATGGGAAGAACAGGTATGGCTGAAAAACTCATTATTTGTAAACAGTTTTCTCCCTCCGACTGCTAGTATAAATGATATAAGTCGAGGCTCTAACTCCTGGACTTAAATAATCAGAATACGCAGCAAAGATCGATTAGCAAAACAAAGAGCAAAAGGCCCGGTAAATAACTCAAACCAAAGCCACAATTGGGCAGAGGGCCAAGTATACGAAGTGACTCCACAACTAGGGTGATGAGCTAGTTGATAACGTCGGTTTCTTCTAGACGGCTCGATTCCACGAACGGACTAAGAAGGATAAAAGAGTTTCAAGAATGAAATCTCAAATAAGGGTTTTTCATTGATCCAAGGTTTTTTTCTCGGCCCGTAGGCATAACACCCTCTATTTATAGAGGTTACAAAATGAATAAGGAAACAAATAATATGTTAAAGGAGAAAACAAATATCCAAAAGATTCTATCAGATTGTTTTTAATGCTAATTGAAAATTCTTAGCCACTAATTATTCCCTTTCCTTGTTTGGCCAACTTGGGCATCAAGAATGTCCTTCTTTCTCCCATTTCCTTCGACTTTCCATGTTTGGCCAACTTGGACATCACGAATGTCCTTCTTTCTCTTATAGGATGCAGATTAAATTGAGCTCTTGGTCAGCTCCAGCTCCTACGTCGAGCACCTCTTGGTCAATTGGACTCTTCTCTTTGCCTTCTCGAGCTTCTAAAGCCTTCATCTTCGGACCACGATCGTTGTATGTTCTTCGAACTCGAGGGACATCTTGTGAGGTGGTCCGGGTTGCATCATTCCCTCCCTCTTCAAAAAGATTTGTCCTCAAATCTTGTGGCTGCATATAGGCTCCATTGCTCGGCTCCATCTCCCTCGACCTGAAACATGCACCACGAAAGAACAAACTTTCTCCACAATCCCATGGAATCAAGAGCTCAAACAACCGATCACACATAGGCTCCGAATAATGAGTTTCAAAGCTCAAGGCATCATGAATGTTTCCTTGAAACCTCCAGCCATGTTTCCAAAAATAATAGGTTGCTCCAGCGCCATCCAAACTTGCAGTTACTCGTCCAAAACCTTCATCCCTCACTAGATGCAGGCCACCACCATCTGCCCTCTTGCCATCAAAGCAATCAGCTGTCCAAAGCAAGCTATCCATGATCAAAGCATGAAGACTCGTACACCTCAAATCCTGATCAGGATGAAAACAAAAAGGATCGTGATAGCTTGATTCAATGCGTTCTATTTCAACCACTTCAGCTCCACCACTTTTCTTTACTGCAACTTCTTCTACTTCCTTCTGATCCGGACAATTGGTCGACGACTTCTTTTCTTTGACTTCCTCTTTATCTGGAAGGGTTCTGACTTCCTCGACATCATGTTCTTCATCGACCTTCTCTGCTTCCAGATTTGCCTGTGCCTCTTCATAAAGTCGTTGTAATTGCCTCCTATCTTCAGCAACCTCTTCCAACGATAATGGTTTTAAGGCGATCTTCCTTCCTTGATGACTGATGATGATATGATTGCGGCTGTGATGTTTTCGTGCTTGGCGATCAATATATGCCATGGTTCACCAAGTACCACGTGAGTCAACTTCATAGGCACGACATCACACTGAATCTGATCCACATACGTCCCAAGTTGAAACTCCACAGATACTTGTTCAGTCACATATACAAAAGCATCTTCCATTGGCAATCGCAATAGGTAAGGGAGAGGATGTTGTTGTGTAGTTAGCCCTAACTTAGCTACTGTCCTCGAACTGATCGAATTGAATTTGATCTCTCCATCAACCACCACAAAACACAAGTTCTCTTTAACCAGACAACGAGTACAGAACAGATTACCTTGCTCCAACTCGTCCATGTCTGCGACACGAGTAAGCTCCAAGAACCTTCAGAATTCTCTCTGAAACTTCAGGAATCTTCTCTTTTTTATTTTCTTTTCTTTGAAAATAGAAACTGAAAATAAACCTTCTTGGCGGCGGTTAAGAACACAAGACCTGATTTGTCTGATTCTCGCTCAAGAAAGGAGGATACGTATGCCACTGTGTTTGAACCGGAGCTCTGATACCACCTGATATAAGCCGAGGCTCTAACTCCTAGACTTAAACAATCAGAATACGCAGCAAAGATCGATTAGCAAAACAAAGAGCAAAAGGGGCGGAAAATAACTCAAACCAAAGCAACAATTGGGCAGAGGGCCAAGTATACGAAGTGACTCCACAACTAGGGTGATGAGCTAGTTGATAACTTTGGTTTCTTCTAGACGGCTCGATTCCACGAACGAACTAAGAAGGATAAAAGAGTTTCAAGAATGAAATCAAATAAGGGTTTTTCATTGATCCAAGGTGTTTTTCTCGGCCCGTAGGCATAACACCCTCTATTTATAGAGGTTACAAAATGAATAAGGAAACAAATAATGTTTTAAAGGAGAAAATAAATATCCAAAAGATTCTATCAGATTGTTTTTAATGCTAATTGAAGATTCTTAGCCACTAATTATTCCCTCTCCTTGTTTGGCCAACTTGGGCATCAAGAATGTCCTTCTTTCTCCCCTTTCCTTCGACTTTCCATGTTTGGCCAACTTGGACATCAAGAATGTCCTTCTTTCTCTTCTAGGATGCAGATTAAATTGATCTCTTGGTCAGCTCCAGCTCCTACGTCGAGCACCTCTTGGTCAATTGGACTCTTCTCTTTGCCTTCTCGAGCTTCTAAAGCCTTCATCTTCGGACCACGATCGTTGTATGTTCTTCGAACTCGAGGGACATCTTGTGAGGTGGTCCGGGTTGCATCAATAAATAGAGGCTTAGGCTATAGTTTGAGACACTCTCATATAAAAATTAGTCAAAGTTCTGCCAGAGCAAGACGGGGATGCCTTCATAATCACCAGGGATGTCTTCTCCATCTTCTATAGCTTGATAAGTCTGTATTGTTTAGGGGATGTGAATTTTATGATGCTCCATGCATCACTTTCTATGATTTAATGAGATTTTTTAGTCATAGATGCCTTAATCATTCTATGCTTATATCATCTATTATGTGCTACTATGGACTATGGTCAGTGATGTAGACAAAATTTCACTTAATATGGGTCCAATTTAAAAATATTATCATTCTATGCTTATATAAAATAAATATTTTTATATATTTAAATGACTTACGTTGGGTTTTCATTATTTTTCGACGGATTTTCGTTTGAGGTTGGATAGTTGGATACTATATTAGGAATTAATAAATCCAGAATAATCAGCTAGAGATGCATTTTTAAGTAAAATCTAGAGTTATTTATATAATATTGAAGTTTAATATGTGTCATAAATCTTTCTACAGCTTATTGGCAGACAAACAAAACCGAGAACATGAAGTATTAAGGTTGTGAATTATGAATTGTGTATAAGTATTATTTCAATACTAATTTAGAGCCACTTATAACTAGGTGGCCGCTGAGTAAATTGTACACTGAAGAGCACGATGCGCGGAGCATGCCACAATATGACTGCGTCCTTTTCTCTTATTCATAGATTCTAATGGGGAAGCAACTACTCCTCGCCCTCTTGTTGGGGTCCGGATAGTATAACAACATTCTTTTTGTTGTTATAATAACAATAGGATTCATTAAGGGTAACAAGGTAAATTAACAATAAAAATAATAAATAAAAATTAATCCTACACATTTTCTCGTTCGCTCTGAACCACAGGCGCTGGATCTCGTTTCTTCTTCTCCCCTGCCGGCCCTGAAAAATCAAAACCTTCACCAGCGTTCCAACTCCATCATCTCTCCATCGTCATTCAAATCGCGAATCAACCATCGCAGGCGTCGAACAATAGGAGTGGTTCGTCTCCTTCACCAATCTTGCTGACGAATTTTGACAAATCGTCACCGTGTCGCCATCAGCAGAGTAACAGGAGCCATGGATTTGTTGAGGTCGGCGGAGGAGGAATCGACGATGGAGTTGGAGAGGCCGGGGGAGGAGAAGAAGAAGCGCTGGGAGGCGTAGACGGTGGCCAAGTCAGGCTCGGCGGAGGATGAGGTTGAGGAAGCGGAGGAGACCCGCGGCAGCAACATTGGGGGTTGGGTTTCCTGGAGAAGGGAGTTGTAGCTTTTGAATAGATTTGGGATTGGACGGCTGTGATCTTCTGGTAATGGCGGGGAGGGTGAGGCGCGTGATC